GTAGAGTAGTTTTTCCTCATGCATATGAATACACCTGTGTTTCTATCAGAAATTTTCACTAAAGCATAAAAGTGATAACTGTTGAGTGTTCTGCTATAATAACTAAAAGTGTAGGTATCCTCATATCAGAAATCAATAGATATACACAGCCAGTTGCTGTCTGAACAGAAACATATATGGCTGTTTTTCAAAAACATAGCTATGGGGGGATAGTAATAATATGATTTCTTTAAAAGGAATATATGTGTGATTTTCACTAAATAACTTTTTATTAGATAGGTAGATAAAAACTATTTGGTACTTTTCTGTTTTGCCGGCGCAAGCGATAAAGTCGCCAATAATGGTACAACCGATGTCAAACAGAATACGCTGGTAACCTTTTACGCCTCATTTTCAAAACAAGTCGCAGCTTTTTCTTATCAGATTCATTGTTACTTTCAATACTGGCATATAATTACATAAATTTTTATCAGATAGTTCAGTTTTATGTCTAAGGCCATTTTCAGTAATTAAGTCAATTAGGATGCAATCACAGTGCTTACCTGAAGCCAAAAATATAGAAAAGGAAAGTCAAGGGTTAAATTCATCAATTCTAATGAGAATGCATTAGTGAAGTAAAGCACTGTAGTTTTACATAATTTCTGAGTAAGCTATTCGTACGCATTGAAATATTTCTTGCATTTAAACTTGTGTTCCAAATTAAGATTTAACTTGAAATTAATGTAGGTAATTACTGAGAGCATTAGATTTTTGTAGAGTAGTTTACGTGAGATGAGATCGCTTGGGGTCACGTGATATGAACCGGCGAATTAGGATGTTGAACCATGAAAGCATAGTAAATTCTTAAATTGAAAGCATAGTAAATTCTTAAATTAATGTCTTTTTACAAATTTATTGTCTTTTTATAAAGTTTTAAGCGATATTAAAATGTTTATGCCTTTAAAAAAAGAATTCTTAGAACTAAAATTTTTTAATATTTTTTATGTGTATACTGTATGTTGTCGCCAATAAAGTCTGCATGGCGAGATTTGCGCCGGCCAAATGGAAAAGTACCATTTATTTATATGAGGAGGGAATTTTTTTAATGAAATGAGTTGAAGCATTCACTAGGAATATTTTTGCTGCAATTACTAAATTATAGACAATTTTTAATTAATTAATTAATTTTGTTTATGTAAGAATTTTCCAAATTGCCATTTAGGCTGAATCATAAGTATCATTTACAATTATATAGGTCTTCCATTGTTTTCAAAATGGATAACTGTTAATGTCATGAAAATTTCATTTGTAGGACAAAATAATGACAATGCATTTCTGGAATAATCTGATAGCTTCAATTTATTCACATCACATTAGCAGGGGTGTTCGTGCTCCGGGGAAACCCCGGAATTCCGGTGATTTTGAACTTAATACCCGGAAATTCCGGGGATCGTCGTTCAAAAGGAAGTAGGAATAATAATTAATTATTTATTTTGATCTGGGTACTTTTGTTTGCTTTGAAAGCAGAAAACGCAAGGTCAGTGTGTGTGGTGAAAACTTTTCCTTTCTTTCTCCAAAGGCAGTGATAATGCGTGAAAAGGTGGAAAAAACTTCTTTTTTGTTCTTTCCTCATTGTGAGTTATGACTCATTCCCTCGGTTCTCGGACATTCTCTTCTGGATTCTTTTCGGCAAGTAGGCGCGGCAGAAGAAAAAGGGAGAGACTTCGTTCGACCAGATGTGCGATCACGCGACTCTGGGTTCAAAGGTCTTATCTCTCCTGGCGTGGCGCTAATAAGTAGAGAAGGGGGATTTTTCGCAGTATTAGCTATTTGTCATTGATCGCTTCTCAACTTTTTTTCCTCCGCTGTGTAAAATTTTCGTTTCATTTATTGATGCACGTGTAAATTTTTTGTTTCATTTATTGAAATATTTTTTTATTTATGTACGCGAGAATTTCACTATGAAATTTCTCGATATAAATAGTGATATTATACAATTAGAAGAAGGTGTCCGGAATGCATTTAGGTGGAATTGGATTGAACGGAGAGATGGTAATGGGGATACCATCGGCACATGGTGCAAGAAAAGAAATGTTGCTGGACAAGCATATTGTGTTTTTTGTAACTCACTGCTGAAGTATGTTGGGGAAGGATTCAAGGCTTTCACAAATCATTCTAAAACTGTGATGCACATAAAGTGCATTAGACATTCAATGACTTTAAGTAATTATTCTAATTCAAAAAATACTGATGACTTACTGGAGACTGATGCTCGGCCATTGGATATAGTGACAAGAAAAGCATGCCAAGAGGTATTAATAACTTCGTTCATCGCCGAGAATTCTCTTTCTTTCAATGTAGCTCCCAATTTAATTGAACTCTGCAAACAGTTGAGCCGCGATCAGACGGCACTAAACTCGTTGGAAATGTCCAGGACTGCTGCATGTTATAAGATGAAATATGAGCTCGCAAAAACTATTAAGGAAAATATCATTAAAACTTTAAAGGAGACTCCATTTTCTCTAAATTTGGATGAAAGTACTAGCAATGCTCAAGAAAGTATACTGATAATATTGGTGCAGTTTTATGACAACAATCAAAATGAAGTTGTAGTTCATCATTTTGCATCTCTAAAGATGGAATCTTGCAATTCAGAAGCTGTTTTTAAAGCAGTTGTTAATACTATTGAAGATAATAATATTCCATGGGCAAACTTAATTAGTGTATTAATGGACTCATGTAACACCATGCATGGAAAAAAAAGGGTGTTGAAACCAGACTACGATCAAACAAAGCACCTCACTTATTAGATATTGATGGTGACACATGTCACACAGCTAATAACTGTGCGAAAAAAATTGCTTCATGTTTTGATAAATACTTAGAAGATTTGTTTGATGACATCTATTTTGATATGAAAAGCTGCAGTAAAAGAGAAAATTTTTTCAAAATCTATGAATCCCTTGCCATTAAAAAACTTAAGCCCTTGAAGAGACCAGACCATATGTGGGTGTACGTTTTATGTGTTTTAGAAAGAATCAAAGATCTGTGGGATGCTCTTATTGCATTTTATTTTCACTACTTGGATAAAACTGATAAAGGGGATTATTTTTCTTATGTTGAAACTGTATACAATAAAAGAAATATTTCTGCAGCTCAGAAAAAAATTGTTGAAGGGGTGTATTCTTGCTTGCATTCCCAACAACTCACAAAGGATGTTTTAGCTCGGAAAAAAAGAATACTAAGTGGGTTATTTGTTATGCAAAACAAAAATTTATTGCATATGGCATTATATTCAGCAGTATTACCAGAGTTCATAACATATATTAAATTATTTGAAACAAAAAAACCAATGCTTCATTTAATACATTCCAGTATTTATAAATTGATGGCAAAATTTTCCTCTTTTTTTGTGAAGCCAGAAAATATAGAGTGCACATCTTATAATGATTTATTAAAGCTTGATGTCACAAATCCAGAATTCCATCTACCTAGCAAAGTAATATTTACTGGTGCAGAAGCTTCCACTCTCCTGAAGAAATTATCAAAAAATCATCCAATAGTAAAAGAATTCCAAATTTCTCTGATGAAAGCTTATACTAATACAGCACAGCATATGAAACAGAAATTACCCTTTAAAAATTCATATCTAATTAGTTTTACAGCATTAGATCCAGAGCTAAGAGGTAAAACCAGTACAATATTACCTTTTGAAAAATTATCATCTTTTATGTTCCATATTTTTAGTGATAATGAAAAGTCAAAAGTAGAAGCTGAAATACGGTTATACCAGAGTGATATTGATATCACCAAAGAAATGCTCTACACATCTGATGAAAGTGGAAATCAAGTCAAGTGTACAATTGATAAATATTGGTCTAAAGTTTTTAAATTTAAAAGATGATTATAAGTATCCTACATTGGCTAAATTGGTCAAAGCCTGCCTTAGCTGCTTCCATGGCCCATTAGTGGAAAGTGCATTCAACTTAATGGATACACTTGTCAGTGACTATAGAACCTTTCTTAAGATTGATTCCCTAAATGCAGTGCAGACTATTAAATATGATTTAATGGCTTCTAAAGAAACCTCATGTGAAAAATATGGCTAAAAAAATCCAATGACTGATCCAATTCACAAAGATCTCTTACTGAATATGAACAGAAGTTGGAAAACATATCAAGAGGACTTAAAAACATGTATTTCAGATGAGTCACCTATAAAAGTCTGAAAAACCTTCTACATTAGCAGAAAAGCAAACTGCTTCTACCTCTGCATGTGCAGTTCCTGAGGAAATTTCTTCAATTGTAAATGAGGAAAATAAAAGTCAACCTTCCTGCAATTAGGAAGTTCACCACAAAAGAAAGACAAGCCCACAAACATCAGAAAATAAAAAAAAGCAGCAGAAATTAGATAATTTTTTTAAAAGAATTAATTCAGGTAATTTAAAATATTTATATAAAATGTAGTAGTTTATATGTTTGAAAATTTATGGTTATTAATTTTGCAAAAAAAGTAATTTATTGAACTTTTATAATTAGGTCATTCAATACTTCATAATTGTAATTTTTCATTTCTCTCCCCCTCCCTTCTCGAAACTCCAAAATGTCGGTAGTAAGTCCGCAAAAGTTTCAGGGGATTTTTTGGGGTCCCACAAACACCCCTGCATTAGCTGTGACTAAATTATTTAAGTGTAAGTTGAATTGGCCAGAAATGTAAAGATTTATTTCTCCAAGAAAGCAGATGCATATTTTTATGTATATCACTCTTTCTTGGAGAATGATTACCTGTTATGGTTGTGCCATCATGAAAATATATTTAAATCACATGAGTGCTTTCTTTATTTGTTAATTTATTTATGAGAAATCAATTTTTGTGGAAGCACTGAACAATTATTTTGGATTATTAGTAAAATTTATATAAAATTTTTTGTTGTTAATGTGTTTCTCTGATCTTGTTGAATATGAAATTTTGATAAATATCTAATAGCAATGATTAAATTCAAAAAACTTTTTTTTTTAAGATATACTAAACCAGAGCATCTTGATAAGAAATTGACTTGTAAAAGATGTGGAGATGAACAAGAATGTACAAAGCAGATGACACTGAAAAAACTTCCAGTCGTTACTAACTTCCATTTAAAAGTAATTATTCGCTGTGTCTCATAAATATCCATAATTACTTTTATATTCCATAAGAAAAATTAATAATTTATTTGATTAAAGAAAATGTTTTATAATTAACATTCATTATATTAATGCATATCCAACACTATTAAGTTCTTATTAATATCTATAAAACTATGTATGAAACAGGAAAAGGATGCACAAAAGCAATTTTTATTTTAAAATTCTTTTTCAGTTTTAAAGCATTCATTTATATGTAGTGATACTGCTTTTCATTTTTTTCTCACAATTTACTGACTGGTAAATGTGACATGCTATTTTTTCATGGACTTTTTTTTCATGTAATATTTTCAGAGCACTTCTATATATAAATTTTTTAGAATAAATATTTTCTATGTATTATTTTCTATTATTTTTTTCCTTTTTTTTAAATGCTGTTTGAATAACGAAAAAAACCATACTTCTGAAAGTTTCTTTAAATAGTGATATGTAGGCAAACTAAACAAAAGTTATGTATCTCTTGGAAATTCTGCTTTTAATATTTCATGATGATATAGAGTTAAGTCAACAAAATTTAATGGTTAAAAATAAATGGGGCTGGTTCAAATTTATTTCAAAGAACTATGCAATTATAAATTATTTGTGTAGTACTTTAAAATTGTATCTGTTTTCCATGTGTAATAATTTATTTAAACTGATATATAATTTATATTTCGTAGTGTTTTACTGCTGTGTAAGTATTAATTTATCTTTGCCACTGTACGAGGCGTATTCAGAAACTAAGTACCGTTTTGAAAAAAAAAAAAAAAATAGTAAAACAATTTTTTCGAATCCAATTTTATTTTTACATGAAAATACATGTCTTAAACTATTTTTCAACATAGTTTCCGCCAATGATCAAATACTTGTCATAGCGGGTGACCAGTTTTTGTATACCATCGTCAAAGAAACTTCCCGCCAGTTTCGATAACCACGACTCCACAGCATTTTCGTGTCATCGTCAGATCCAAAGCGCTTGCCACCAAGCTCGTGCTTCATGTGCAGGAACAAATGATAGTCGGACGGCGCCAAGTCCGGGCTGTACGGCGGGTGATCGAACTGCTCCCAATGAAACTGTCGAATTAACGATTGAGTGACACCAGCAGTACGGGGCCGAGCATTGTCATGGAGCAACACAATTCCTTTACTGAGCATTCCTCTTCGTTTCTTTTGAATGGCACGCCTTAGTTTTGTTAAAGTCTCACAATATCGTGCCGCATTAATGGTTTCACCTCTGGGAAGAAATTCAGTAAGCAAAACGCCTTTCCTATCCCAGAAGACAGTGCACACGATTTTTTTGTGATGACATTGTCACTTTGAACTTTTGTTTTTTTGGAGAATGAGTGTGTCTCTACTCCATCGATTGTTGTTTCTATTCTGGTGTGAAATGACACACCCAAGTTTCTGGACATTAGTTCGACCTGCATTAAACATTCTTACCCACTTTCTCACCATTCCATCACTTATCGCGTATTCACCGTAAACTTCTGTCACTTGTTGATAAATTTCGGCCGGTTTAACATTCCTCGCGTTCAAAAATTTAATCATGGCACGAATCTCACAGTCAATGGGAGAACTAATTGTCTTAAACATTTTGAATGTGCACAGGAAACTGAAAACACAACATAGAGCAACCAAAATGGCGACAATTGAAAGTCAGTGAACAAGAAAGACTAGTGCGCATGCGCGGGACGCCTACCACAGCGCTGCGACACCGCTAGAATGAAACGGTACTTAGTTTTCGAATATGCTACATATTTTGGTTAACTCAGTTTTTTTTTTTTTTTTTTTTTTTTTTTTTAATCCTTTATTCATAAAGTTTTCAACTTAGTTCCAAGACATCTTACGCAATTTCTCAGATTGTAGGTATTTGCAGGTTAAAACTAACTTGAAACACTAAAGTATTATTAATTAAGGTAATTGCCAGAAGAACAGCATACGTAACGGAAAGAAACATAACTGCATTTTAATAGCTATTATTAAGAATAAAAGGTATTTTCATATTAACTATTATTGATGTCTCCATTGATACCAACACATATCTGTTTCACCATAGTAATCATATGTAATTCAGCTGTCTTGAGTTAATGTGTATAGCCTTATTGATTGCTTCTTTCTTCGTACAATGCTTTCTTTCAATTTCTAATAAGTAATAAATTGAAAAATATATGCTTTTCAGGATTATGGTAATTGATTCCACAGTTATGGTATAAGTTTTTTTCAGGGATAGAATCAATAAGAAGCATTAATATGAGAGCATGAAGTATGAGCATAGAAAAGGTCGATTGCAGAAAAATGATTTATGTTTGCTGTTTTCTTTTGATCTTATTTTAATCATCTTAAATGAAATATTTCATTAGACATGTTACAATCTTTGGTACCTTTCCTGTCTAACCTCATGCCAAATCCTGTTCTATTTTCCATTATGTATTTTGTACTTTTTTAACAGATCTCTAAGATTTGCTAAATAGTGAAGCAGAATTTATACCTTTTCGCTTTAGAATCAGAGAATACTGCTGAATAGTGAGGAATATTCTGATTTCCATGTAATAAAATTGTACATCTTTAACCCTTTCAGGCACACTACCTTTTAAAGTTGGAGTTTTGATTTAAAAAAAAAAAAAGTTAGGCAGTCTAATTGGGCCTAGAGGAGAACACAAGTTTGATTTTAGGCAAGATTTCAAGGTAAAAATTTAAAACTAATATAGAATAAGGAGATTAGCATACAGCCAAAAAAATAGCATAGAAATTTCTTTTCAAACAATTCTTTTTATACCCTAAAAAAAAATCTGGAAGATTTTTTTGAAAAATGAAACGTCTTAAAAAACTAAACATGGCTAAAATATATAGGATGGTTTGTGTTGAGCTGCCATCTACTATAAATAAAGAAGATTCATAGTAACCTATAAATCCTTTTTCACTCAATTTTTCTGTGCATACAGAAGGAAAATTTTAGATGTGTCCAGACCAGATAAACTGTGTCGCAAAGAGTTAAAACTGTATTGTAGAGTGTAACATTGAAAAGTACAGACAGTAAGAAGTCAGTAAAAATGAGAATATGAAATTGGTTTGAAAGGAACTAGATCATATTTTCAATAGCCATTGGTTTATTTACTTAATGGTATAAAGAATCAATATCAGTCAAAGTTAACTGAAAAGAGCTGGATTTGAGAGGTAAAATCATCGTCATTTATTTTAAGAGTTTTTTTTTGGGGGGGGGGCATATATTTTTGACATGTTTCTAAGGGTTGCTTATAGCACTGAGCTCATTCCAGTTATGACTTTTAAAGTACAAAGTTCATCCAGAGAGAGTACTATTTAGGTTGTTAAAAAGATTAGCAATTTGTTTCATATGTATTTTATTACAGAAAAATCTACTCACTTTAAACTACTTTTAGACATATTCACCATGGGAATTAAATTATGTGTCTTATCTTGACACTAATTGCAACATACTTGGTTTTGTAGAATTTGGCTATTTGTGACCTGAACCAGTTTTGGGCATTTTACCTTATAATGTGTTGGAGATGAGAAACAAATGGAAATTGGATAGAGCTAGGTTCAGGCTATAAGAAGGGTGGTAGAATTGTTCCCATCAAAATGAATCAAGCAGTGTCCTCATTAATTGTGTGGTATGCAGTTGCACATTATCATGCACAAATACAATACTAGAAGTCAGTAGTCCATTCCTTTAGTTCTGTATTATGTGCACAATGTCTTCAGTGACTCACAATAAGTTCTAGAATTGGTTAGTGTGCCTTGTTCCACCAATCCATTAATGAAATTCTTTGACAATCCCAAAATATGGTGTACATAATTTTTCTTGAAGAAAATGGTGACTTTGTTTTCTTGGCTTTGGGGAAACCAATATGCCACCATTCCATTTACTGTCATTTCTTTCCAGGTGTCTTGTAACAAATCTGTTTCATTGCCTGTAACAATTCTTTTCAAAAAGTTGTTTCCTTCTGTTGCATAATGCTGCAAAAACCCCAAGGCTGCTTCCATGCATTTCCATTTTTAATGTCCTTTAATGTTTTCACTGCCCTTCGTGAATACAGTTTTTATAGCGCAAATTCATTGAGAATCGCATATTAAAAAAAACTTTTTTATTGATGCAGCACACCAGTTCTTCAGTGATCAACAATAGGCATCCACTGCACGCCTTGTCGTTGACATTTTTGCATCCTTCATTAAATATTCTAACTCACTTTGGCATCATATCTTCACTCATCACATTCTCTATGTAAGTTTCACTTATCTGACAATAAATTTCTCAAGGTCAAAGATTTCTCGCATTCAAAAACTTGATAATTGCTCTTATTTCACTGCTGGTGGGCCGATGGATTGTTTTAAACATCTATCATCCCACCAATAAACAGTTACTTCAAATATTAACATAAATAAACAAAGTGGTTACCCTAATTCATTCTCTACTTGAACAATGTAACTCTGATGTGCAACCTTAGTATTATCAGATCTTGGGAGATATGCACAAACAGTACTTACTTTCTGGATCAGCATAGCATATGTATTTTCAGGCAGAGACTGTTAAATATTTTTTGCAAGTGAATAATGGTGAATTTGGATGAGCTCATATTTGGCACTGCATATTCTTTCATTTTAACTGTAGTCATAACACAATTTTTGCAGTTTGTTTAGATGTCTGCAAATGCCTGTAATGGTTCAACTGTCCGAGTTGCATGCGGCCTCTGAAGCGATTTTAACATAGCACATGAATACATTTAAATTATGAATTTTTGTAAATACAGTATTGCAAGGATTTCAAGATTTTAGTTATTTGAAGTCCTCGTTTACATTACTTCCATCACCATTAGAAACAAACATAAACAATGCACCAGAAAAATCTATAAACTGAGCTAATCAATTTACAAAGTGATATAAAACTTAGTCAAAGATATGAAGATACAGCTTTTATTAACTTTTATTCATGAATATTAAAAACTAAGTATATACAAAAACTAAGTATGCTTATTGTGAATTTTTGCACTAAACATAATTGCTTAGTTTGAGTACTACATTTCATTTATATGTGAACATCTCTTTTTTAACTTCAAAAAATTAATAAAAGAAAATGGTTGTCTGATGAATATCTTGATTATCTTGATTATCTTGAATTATCTTGATTATCTTGAATTATCTTGAATTATCTTGATTATCTTGAATATCTGATGATTGTTGTTTTGTTTCAAAAAAATATCAGTATATCTGATTAATGAATGAAATGCTAAAATCTGAGATTTATAATTAGTTTATAATAATAAAGGAGGCAATTATTTCATCATGTACATCATGTAAAAATTTTACATTATTAATTATCATGTGTTTTGTTGATTCTTATCAGTAAAACAGTGGTAATCAATAAAAATATGTGAAAACTGTTCATTTTCATTAACTGAAAAAAGTACTACATAAATTTGTAGTACTGGTAGTACAAATTTATAAGCTAACTTTTAATAATAATGTAACCAATATTTCCTCTAATTTTTCTGCATGCTATAGGAATTTATGCAGGAAATTTAATTACTTAGACCATCATGAATGCTTTCTGTGTTGGTATTCTGCAGTCTACTGTATGCATAGGAATTAAAATCACCTGCCAACTTCAATAAAATCAGTGAACAGCTGTGCACATATTTTCAGAGGGAATATTGAATGTAATCCCTGAAATTCTGTTAAAACGTTTTTTGTGTATTATTTGATGTTAATAATTTTCAAATATAATTTAAAATTCCATGCATTAAATATTATAAATTGCAAGACAATTATTTTTTTTTTTATTTTTTATTTTTTTTTTTTTTTAAAATTTTAGCGCTTATCTGATCAAAAATCTCACAAGAAGATCACAAATTTTATTTCCTTTCCCGAGTGCCTCGATTTGACACCATTTATGGCATCTTATGCATGTGATAAATCTTCCACTTGTAATGGAGAAACTGCATCTAGTGGTCTTGGTGATAGTGATAAAAAGTTAGTATATTTTATTTATTTCTCTATTCTGAAGATAATTTTTTATTTGTTTCTCCAAAAGTATAAATATTTGTATAATCACTGATTTTCATTAATGTAAAAATAATCATATAATTTATGATAGCACATCTAAATTTCATACACTTTCTACCAAGTGTGGTCATATAGCCAATAAAGGAATTTCATATAAGTACATCATATGAAAATTCGTCTAGGTAGCATCTTTTTTTTTGGGGGGGGGACTTAATAGTAGTGTAAAAAGAAGTATTTTGGTATACAGACATACCCTGAAGTTTTCTGATAAGTAGGACCAATGAAAAGCACATAAGTTGAGGGTATAACATGGCATTCAAATAAATGTGAATTTTAGTTAAAAGTGACCAAAGGTTAAAAAAAGACTTGTATAGAAAAAGTGTATTTAATAAAGAACGTAGTTTTCATACATATCAATATAAAGTAATGTTAAAAGGAATGCACCGTGTAAAAATGAGTTTTTTCATTGTGATGATTTCAGACAATTTTACAAAGTTGTCTGTCAATCTGATTTGTAATTATAAAGCGGAAATAAGAAAATAAAGAATATCAAACTCCGTTCCTCACTTTATCAATATTAAAAAATAAAACATTGACTTCACAATGTAGATAAATGTACAGCAACATACATTGCTGGCCATTAAAATTGCAACACCAGGAAGGAATGATCTGACAAACATCAAAATCACATGAAAGAAAGAAGAGGTTGGAATATGCAAATTATTAGTATTTTGGCACATTTAGACTATGCAGGAGGGAGAAACGACATCAGAAGCATGGCATAAAACAAAAGTTGTGTAGTGGATTTCTCATTTGGAAAGCACTTTCTAAGGTCAGTTTGCTCATAGTATCATGTTATGCCTCAAATAATAAGAAAAAATGCTTATCACCAAGTTTCATAATTCAGTAGAAGCAGGATCAAAAGTGTGGATTATTGTTCCATGATATTGCCCATCACACTGGTCAACATCCAATCACTGGCATGCGAATATGGAATCAATGGGTTGCTGAGAGTCATACTGAATGGCATGCAGGATCTCAACACCCTCCCATGACTAACTGAGAGGACAGCTATATTGTGATGTCAGCCCTGCGAAACTGTACAACCACATCATGGACTGTTTAGTCAGGAAATGGGCATGTTTGCAGCACACCCTGTATCCGCTCATATGGCGCATCAACTTTTGCAGCAGCATGGACTATCAGCATGACGACCATTGCTTTGCTTCTCTTGACAATGCAGCATAGAGAGAGATGGTGACGATGGTGCACCAAATGACAAAGCTAGATACAAGAGTGGCATAATGCCATCTTTGCAGATGAGTCCTGGTTCTGTGTGCTGTATTCTGATCACCAATAGGAGGCTCCGAGGAGACTGCAGATCGCCTGCTTGCATTTGATATCCACATAAGGGCCCTGCACCTGGCGTCATGATTTGGGCAGCCATTGGGTAGACAGCACGCATATCTCTAGTGCAGTTTGATAGTAATTTAAACACAGATCGGACATTTATGACATCTGATGTCCAGCAATTGTGCCCTATCTTTGAGGCCTACCAAACACCATCTTCTAACAAGGTAATGCAAAACCGCATGTTGCACATTATGGTCTGACCTTCCTCAATACACAGGGTATTTGATTTCTGCCCTGGCCTACACAATCTCCAGATCTGTCACCCATTGGAAACATCTGGTCATGGGTTGCTGAGAGAGTGGCCCGCCACCCCTCTCCAGCTGATATGGTTGATAAAGTGTGGCATAGATTTGAAGCAGCATGGAATGAGTTGCTTGTTTCTGTCATCCAAGTTCAGTTCAACTCCATCCATGCCTTACCGGGTAAGGGCCATTTTTGCTGCCAGGGGTGGCAGCTGTTTCTACTAATTTTTGCACCCCTGTAAACTCCCAAACTGCTTACAAATTTAATCATTCTGTCTTCATGCCATACCGTTTACGTACAACAAATATCTTTTTTGTATTTGCTTTCCTTCATGGTGTTGCAATTTTAGTGGCCAGCAGTGTACATTATATTTTGTGTGAAACAGTTGTATTTTACATGGAATTTTTGAATAGTGTGTGGAATTTTAGAGCATTTACCAAAAATGTTCTGCTTTGATACATATTATTTCTCTAAAGCAAGTTTTAATATAGAGTAATATTTTGTTGATAAGCGTTTTTTGAATTAATCAAATTTTTCAAGCTGCTGATGCAGTAAGTGGTTCTTAATGCAAAAAAGTAATAAAAAATTATCACCACAGAATTTCAAAGAGATGCTTAAAAGTTAACTTATAATTTCAGACAGAACACAAAATTATATACAGGTTGTTCATAGTTCTCTGTAGTCTTTCAAAAGCTTTAATTAAAATAACTATAACAAATGCAGAAAAAATGTGCATAACGAGATGTAAATTGTTCGAAGTTTGCTCTCATAATAAACCCTGTCACAAAACTGTAAGATTTAGCTGTGAGGTGGCAGTGCAATGCAAGCATGCATTTTGTGGTGAACATAAAACTTACTACCTCTTACAGTTCTTAAATGTGAGTCAGTTTCAACCATATAATAAAAATTTTGTACAAAATGTGAAACAAAGGCTTCTTTAAACAAGCCGTGCTTGTCATGGTAAGTTCAGGGAAACTGGTTGCTTCTGCAGTGCAAAACAAAAACAATCTACTAGTTCAAACCAGAGTCTACCACATCCTGAGATATACACATATTGAGCATCTGTAAGTTACATGGAAAATTAGATAGATTCTTGATGTACAGGTATGCATCTTTTTGCTGCATTTGTTATAATTATAGCTTTATAAATTTCCAAAACTTCTCCTGGGCTTTTGAAAATGTATCACATATTAAGTGAAAATAAAAATACATACATACATATGTTAGGCAAAGACTTCAATATTGTTTTGTGTAACTTAATTAAATTCAACATATTTCAGTACCATCAGAAAAAATGTGTTAGATGGCTTTTAAAAACTGAAAGATGTCTGAAAAGTTCATAAGTTATGCTACAAAAAGTGTCACTACATTTTTAAGATTGAAATAAAACTGAAAGAATTCAGATAAATAGCATACACATTCATATACTTTAATAGCATTTTAAAAAATATGTGCCACTATATGTTATATTTTTATGCAGTTCCGCTGTATTTATTTATTTGGCTTTAAATTTGAAATGATGATTAAATTTAAGTGTTTTAATACTAAAATAATGCATATAGAAGTTTAATTTTTGTCATTATTTATTTATTGTAACTTTTAAATGCAAAAGACATTTATATTTTTTTTAAATTTGATTGTTCTTCGTATGCTATTCTATATAAGCTGGAATTTGCTGAACATCTTTAAAGGCCAGTTGATTAAAGACATGAAATACTGTCAATTTGCCTAGGTTGTACTACTGATGAATGAATAAGCGAGCTGCATAAGGTTTTCATTATCTTGATTTAATTTTTCTTAGAAAATTTGCAAAGGCATTTCTTCATATAGGCAGATAGTGCTAATGTATACTAAGACTCACTTTTTTTTTAATTGTAACCCTGCAAGAAATCATGCAAGAGAACTTGAAAATCAGAATACACACACAGTATTTTGTACTAAAAGCACAAAGAAAAACAAATAAGGCGTGTACAGTATGAAATCAAGCAGAAAAAGGTTTTTTTAGAAAGATAGCTTTCTCTCAGTATTACAAACTAATTTTTATTTGGTAGTGCAAATGACTGCTTGCCAGGGATATGACCTCCCTTAAAGGTGTCACACCATTCTCCAACCTTGACACCAGATTATCGAACAGTTCTTGGGTAAGATTGCCTATTCTTTGATCAGCATTTGTTTCAGTTGTTGAGTATTCGCCAGTTGATGTGGTTATGTGGAAAAGCAAATCATACATGTTCTATATGATTTAAATCAGGAAGCATACTAACTAATCCATCTGACATCCTTACTTTCTCGCAGCTCCTCCAAAGCGCTAGTCTTATGTGTTATGACATTATCACCTATAAAATTATTTCTTGTTTCATATCATCCATAAACACATTGAATTTAAAAAAAAAAAAAAAAAAAAAAAAAAAAAACTTAAATCTTTCATCTGAATTTAATTCTTGAAAAAGGAATCTACTTAATCTTTTTTCTGAATTTATTTTCAAAATTTACATTTATAATAAAGCTTCCAATTATGGTCATTTTTAAAATAATTGTTCAGTTTGTTAATGTTCATTTTATATACAAATGAAATTCTCAAAATGAAGAACCACACTACTATAATTATGTAGCTAGCTTTCTATATTTCATTCTATAAAGGCAACAAAATTTCTTTCTTTAGGTTATCAAAGCTTACATTAAATATACTAACATGGAAAACAAAGTTAAGGTGATGATGAATGTGAAAATAATTGATAGAAAATTTGTGTGATGATGAATCTGGAGAATGATAGTAATGTTACTGATTTTTTTTTGGGGGGGGGTGTTTTAAATCATGATAAAATGTATCAAATATGTTGTCAGACATCAGGCAAGCAATTGTGATTATCTGGCATTCAACTAAGTAGAAAGCTGAAATAACCAGAATATTGTATAATTTTAGAAACTACCCCTCTAAAAAAAATTAAACAAATGAAAGACATAAAGCTTTTAGAAAACACATATAGAAGACTATCCACAAGTAGTGGGATCTGTCATCAGTAATGGATAAGTGTGATGTCACAAGATAATCATAAGATCTTTGCCTTCTTTTTATACCTAATTATTCTTAATAGGCTGATTTACTTTTCGCAGAAAAGTATATAAGGTAATGGTGTTTGTCTGTTTTTTCCCTCACATTTTGAAAACATGATTAAAATTTACTAATTGACATCTGGAAAATAGCATGCATAGGAATATTTTCAAAGTTATGGGATCCAAATTTAATAATAATAATAATAATAAAGATGCATTAATGGACATAATGTGTGACTTTATTTGAAAAAGATAAATAATAGCAATTCTGTGTGAAGAAATATTAAAAGTAATTTAAGTTTTTTATATGCTATATTTATAATTAGTATGTGTTGATTATCTAATTAAATCAGGGTTGCCACGCTACCTGGAAAAAAGTCAGAGAATTCGGAAATTGACCAAAAAATTCAGGGAAAAGTCAGGGAATTTAAGTGTTTTAGTTAAAATCTGGAAAAGTCAGAAAATTTCATACAACGATCCCGCCAAAAATGGCGAGTTTTGCGCATACGTCGGAAGAGAGCACTTTTTTGGCGAATTGTGTATCACGTGAGTGTCATTCGGGCAGCTGGCATAGAGCCAATTTTCGCAGCTCCAGTCTGATTGTCTTTTAGAAAGGCAAAGCAAGTTTCCCGCAACTTTTGGTTTCCAGTAACCTCGAGAATTGCATGTGCAGTGCATGAACTAAAGAAAATACCTGTTCTCGTATAAAACAAAATGGGTTTAATCCTGGTATATGGTACCATGAAAGTTAGAATCAAAAAATATGTATTGTAAAGATGGAAAACCTCTCTGCAACAGACGTGGCTAAGTTCCATCATAGAGAGAAACAGCTGTGCATGCGCGATATATCTGTCTCCAAAGCTCAAAACTGGTGTCGAAGTTCGAAGGTCACGTTACCAAGAGTTTATAAAATGAATATCGTTTAAAATTTCTTTAAACTCTAAAGGAAAAGAAAATATTTTTTCGCGCAAGTAAATTAATTCATGGATTAGTTATTTTGAGGGAAAAAAAAAAAGAACTATGAAAATCCGTTTTTAAAATTATTGCGAAAAATCCAAGAAAAAACGTTCTTTGATAAAACGTTTCTTCTTGGATTTTTCTCAATAATCTAGAAACGGATTTTCGAAGTTTTCTTTTTTGTCAAAGAACGTTTCTTCTTAACACGTGTTTCTCAATTTCCTGTACACATCGCGGAGAGGGAAATTCTGGCCACCAGGTTCCGTCGCCAAATCCCTTGGCAAATTTTCTCTCCGCTTTCTAGCGGCGTAATAGCATTTGCGTGTATGGAACCTTTTTCTTCTGTAAATAGACGTTCTTTGGTTAAAATAATCTCCATGTATGGTACAGCGGGATTTGGCAACATGGTGATGAGCAGTGAACGGGTCATTTTGTTCTTGGCGACAATTTTCAAAATCATGCAAAAGCCGTACCGTATACTAGGATTTTACTGCAAAATCTTTTTTTTGTTTCTTTTCTTTTTAATAAATACCTTGTCATTTTGCAGTAAAATAAAAAAATAGTAATCAGTCATCTAGGCTAACTATATTCGCTAAAATATCGTTGATTATTCTAATTCAATTTTTAAGTAATTATCTTTATTTTTATGTTATTCATATCATTTAATGTTGCTTCTTCCCTCTAAAATTATTTATCATTAGTAAATAATATTTCCAAATTTCAGGAAATTTTCTCTGGCATAATCCTGAAATTAATTCTAGCAGTATGATGACATCACGAAATTTAATGCACATATTTTTTCCTTATGTATGCTGCGAAATAAATATAAAATACCTCAATTTAGTGAAAACATATCTTTAAATAGATTTCTTTCTTTCATTTAGCTGCAGAATGTCTGCAAAGAAAGCCTTATTTTATTCCAGATTGGGCAGATTCTAATCTCAATCTTCAGTGGAGAAAACAACTCCTATTATAATTATATTTGTGTTTTCAAGTGTTAAGGTGCCTTTTAAAAAGACACCTCACACAAATTAAATTTACCTAAAATCTAACCTAACTTTTAGCATTGCGTTGTGATTTATAAGAACCGGATTAGCCTCATGTTGAACTGGTGATGATCATGAGTAATAATTAAATAAAACGTACAATTGTTATCCAATGTATATATCTTAAATTTTATTAAGTTTCTTAAGTGGAAAAGTAAACAAAATTATCAAACAAAGTGTACCAAGAATAATTAAGAATAAATGTCCTCTGGGATTTATTGAATAATTAAGTGAATTTGCTACACAGTGCAGGTAATACCATAATTAATTTACCTCTTAGCACAGCCAACGAACATTACGCGAATAGACTGGAATTTTCTCGAAACATACCTGGAAAACCTGCAAAAGTCAGGGAATTTCATTCTCCTGTTTGAGTGGCAACCCTGTTAAATGAAGAACAATTTGTTACTTAAAACTTCTGCCAAAATGATTGCTAAAGGTTTGGTCACATCTCTGCCAGTTTTTATGACTGATGGTACTTCATAATTACATAACTTGTTTTACTTTCATATGTTTAAGACCTACAATATGTTAAGGCCTATTTTGGATATAAAAGTTAACTAGGTTTTATGTCCGAAATACATTTTTTTCATGAAATCTAGCATAATTTTAAATATGGGCTTTATTCAATTCTACTAATAGAATGAATGTTGATAAAAATTAGTCAAACACAGTTAAAAAAATTTTTAATTACATGTGCAAAACTGTACTGATTTACTCTAGTTCTCTTAGAGTTACCATGAATGGACCATCCCTGTTAAATTAAATGTGATTTGTTTTTCACTTTTGTAATATCTTTTTGTTTCCATTCTCTTCAAGGTACTATAAATAACATCAAATAGATATATTAAAAAAAATTTGAAGGATCAATGTGCATGTAAATTGTTTTTAAATTTCTCAATTTGTAACACCAATGAGCATGTATTATTATAATTTAAAAGATAAGTTAACTATTTTCTCCTGCAAGTTTAGCAGCTAAAATCTAAATGTTCCATACCTACCTATAACTAAAGGTTCCATATAACATGACATTCAAAGTTTGTAGCAAAATGTTGAATAAAGATTTTCATGAAAAACAAAAGAGGCCATGTATAAATTTTATAAAAAATAATGATTTATGCTAGTTGAAATAATTAATTTCCAAAATGAACAGCCTATGCTTTGCAACTGCTTCCTAAATTTTTTTTTAAAGGTCTTCTATTGTGGTCAATGAATAGCTTGACAAATGACACTATTCCTAATTTTTTCTGTGAATATTGTGCATATTGATATGAAACTTTGTGTTTTCAATTTTTGTTAACAGCTTTTACAATTTATTAGCTATGTTACTTGAATTCAATTTTTATTCTATATGGATCATATGTAAATTTCTACCCTCTAGACCTATTCTTACCTAAAGTACTAAGACTAAAATAAAATTTTGTGCCTTAAGAAACTCTGCAAGTGAAAGTATATAGTTATTAATATTTAATCCATCGAGTGACATGACCACATTTTATCCAATCATAAAATTTTTTCTCTCTCTTGATACATCTCAGTTCATCATTAAAAATGTTTTGCTTTCTTAATTTCCTTTATTATGTAAATATCATCTTAATGAACGAAAGTTTACGAAAATACAGATTAAAATAAGTAATCATAGAAATTTAACTCATAAATATTTGAATATGAGCAGATCCCAATTGGCATGTTACTCAGAGGATTAAAGAATTAAAACTTGTAGCCATTTTTCTTGAACACTGCACAAAAGTGATACTTATTTGGAATTGTTAGATTATTTGCTATGATTCAGTATGTCATTGACCCTTGCATAACACAGTTAGGAGTTCCAGTATGCTGCTCAGTAGCAAATCTATGCATGTATATAGTTTTTGCTTCTTCAAAAATTTAACTATTAATAGCTTGCCACTCACCAGAAACATTACTGATTATATGAACAATAGGTTTTGTATGTTATTTGCATATGCTATGTTTATATTCTAAGCTAGATCTTTATTTATAGATGCTATAAAATATGCACTAATAACAATGTAGTCAAAATATGATTACTTAACAATTTCCTGCTAGGTGATGTAATTGTTTGTGCTAGTATAGTTTATACATTAATGAATCAGCACAATAGTTTCAAAATTTTTATGTCATGTAGTGTTACATTCATATTCACAGTAGATTTCTGAAAATATTATTAAATATTGTACAGTATATGTCAATCCTCCCCTTTAAGCCATTTCTCTGCTTTTTGGAATCATTTCCAGCATTCACATGGAACTGATTCTGTTGTTTGAGGTCTTGAAAATTTTATTAATCAAGGAATTTGGATATCCTGTTTTACTCAGTGTTTAACTTATGGGATTAAGAAATTGCTGAAATGGAGATGAACAAAGCAAAATTTTTTAACCTGTTTTTCACAGTATAAGAACTCAGCACACTACTTGCAACTATATACTTATACTTATTTTAAGGTGATAAATTAGCAACTAAGACTAACATCTACTTTATTTTTTAGTGTTTGTTAACTATCTGGTTTTTATCTCCTAGTTAGTTCCAATTGCTGTAAATCTCTAAAATGCTTTTCTTTATTTACTTGAGGGGGAGGAAAAATTCTGTGTATAAGTAGGTTTGTGCAGTGAAATCCATGTATTGCAAGAGCCAGTGTATTAAGCATTCTAGGTTTGTTTTTATCAAGATAAAAGTCTATACTGTATCACAGTCTTTTATCTTCTTTTTTATCTTTTTATTTTTTTTTAATCTGTATGTTTGTTCCAATATATTAATACTCATTTTTTAACTATTTACAGATTCTATTTATTTGCTGTTGTGTGTCACAGTGGAAATAATGTGGGTGGACATTTTATTACATTTGTTAGGCAACATAAAAATAAATGGTTTAAATGTGATGATCATACGATAACAGAAAGTAGTATAGAAGAAGTCCTTCAAAGTGTTGGGTATGTATAAAATTATCTTTCTTTTCACATAAATAAAATCAAACTTGCACAAGGTGTTCATAAAATGTTTTCAACAAGATATTAGGGGTGATAGTATCCATCAAGATTTATAGCATTTATAATGGAATGTAAGACCACATTCCACTGAAAATGTCAGAAAAGCATCCACTCAAATGTTCAAATTGAGCATCAGTGGACTGGAGGAAGGAGTGAAGAAATTGCACATTCAGATTACAGAAAGACTTAAAAGTAGCAGTTTGTTGCATATTTCATACTGATAAATGAAAGACTGGTACATCCTCTCATAACCCCTGCTGTCATCTTGGCCATTGCAACATTCCTCCTATATTAATCGACAATGGCTTTCACAAAGTCACTTAGGATGATATCACTTATAGTAATAATTTGAAGCCTAGTGGATGTGATACATAAGGAACAACATTTGCTTTAACTGGTGTTCTATTGAACCTGCTGAATCCACTGCAATTTATAATGCTGCTGCTTTTCATTAGAAATCTGTATACTGTAAATGCTTTAAAGATATGCTGCTTGTCCAGCAGGACAGAAATGATATCAGAAGTTGTGCTTCTTGGAGTTATTATATTTGACATTCAGAATAATGAGATCTAGGTTTCCTTTATAAATGCTAATTCTCATGATGGGAACTGTCACCCTCCTTATTTTATGATAACTGTTATTTATTTTCCCTTAAATCAGTTTTAAAATATGCATTTGAGAAATATGACTGTAATGAAAGAAAGTGCAATAAAAGTTCTCCAGGAACACAGAAACCAAAAGAATATAGAATACAGAGAGCAAAATCGGTAAAGGAAATATTTGCTTTGAATCTTTTCTTAAAGCAATATCCCAAAATTTCCACCAAAGAACAAAAGAAACAAAATTCCATTTGTAAGTAGGTTTATAGTTTGATTTTTGAGATATATGCCTAATTAAAAATGAGAAATATGTATGTAATTAATAATTATTGCTATTATAAGGTATCATGAAGATGATATAACAGAAATTTTTCATTGTTATGATAATATCCCAATCATCAATCAACTTATCAGACAGTGAAATCTGTAGTATGATACTAAATCCAAAAACTATTCCTATCGGTAGTGAAGAAAATGAATGTTTAATAAAGCAAATAAACATTGAAATTTTTCTAAGTTTTGATTCCTTTCAGGTCATAACTGCTTTATTTCATATTTTTAATTTTATACTTTTTACATATCATCTTACTAGATTTAAACTGATGATCTAATATCCAGAAAAACCTATCGAAGTCCCGACAAATCCAGATCTCGATCTTTGTCCTGTATTATCATATTTCTTCTGTATAATATTTTAATTAAATTAATAATTTGTTTAAGATGTTACTATTTATGAAGTGATTATTTTTCAGTAAATTAATTATTCCAGAGTAATTAATGATTGTATGTTAATTCTTCAACTTTTGAAATATTTACAAATGGCATAATATAAATTTGTCTCATTGGAACATATATGCTTCTCTTGAATAATTTATGATCGCATATTAATTATTCAACTTCCAAAATATCTTCATAAAATAATATGGTTTGGTATAAAATTTATCTCGTTGGACTATACAGTATATGCTCAGCTTCATTTCAAAGCTGTGTCTGGATACTTTTTCACTTAGGCAAAATGGTGAATGTATACCCTTATATATAATCTAATTAATTATATTTATCAAAGGAGAAGAAAGATGCTGATGTAAAACTTGAAATAGATAAAACAGTAGGCTTATTTTGGCATAAATTTTAATTAAAACTATTGATTTCAAGGGCAATCAGACAGAGATTTTTCTTCAGGAGCAAAAAAAATTCTGCAGAGCTTTAATGTCTGAACTATAATTTTAAACTAATTAATGTTTCAGCATATAAATGCATTATTGCATACTAGTATGTGTTATTTACTGCAAATTTCAGAATTAAAATTATGTTTAAATCCATATCCACACATCCATAATCTGATCTGTCACATTATAGATCTATAGATATTAAATTATATGCAAAAGAGTGAGCTATTTATATTACATGGAAAAAGAGTTGTAATTGATTTAAATTGTGATTGGCTGCATCTGTAAATAAATGCAATCTTTAAACGGAAACATTATTAACTAGAGTTCAAAGATTGTATGTATCCTTTTTTTGTTATTTTAAGCATGCTTGTATGTTGAATTTTACGTGAACAATTTTCCTTTATTCTAACTCCCTAACATAATAACAGCTAACAAATCTAATCTAAGCTTAATTATTCAAATATTGTTATGTGGAACTTAATGTGTGTGAGCAAGACCTAAATATAAATGCAACTTATTATTTGTGGATTTGATTATGAAATATGATAGTTTTTTTAATTGTGTTATATTTTTCAGGTATATCTTATTTTACCACAAACAAATATTGGAATATGAAAAATGTGACAACTAATTTAATCCCACCAACTGTGTTCTATATTGTGATCTCTTTATATGAAATGAACTTTAGTATCGAATTTGGTACATGATCTAAGTTTGCTCAAGATGATATACAGAGCTTCTAAAATTTCTGACTTTTTAATATAAGGGCTATGAGACTTAAATTATTCTTTTGATTTTGTGAAACTGTGGTAAATGAGTAAATGGTGTTCTTGTGTTGAGTAAAAGAAAATTCATGATATCACCTGGATGTGGCACTGGACCGTGATGAGGTTTATATTCCTATCTGAGTGATCATCTATCCTAAGCTTTAACTTTGTGTGTTTCTTGTGCGTACTGTATGTAAGTTTATTGTCTGCCAGTTTTTTTAATCCATGGCTAACAAATATGGAAAGTCCATCCTACTAGACGTATTTCAAATTTATTTGTCTGTTTTTGGTAAATGTGTATGCATTAAAATTCAATCTTTTTTGGACTGCATGCTCAAGCTAGAGGTTGCAGGAAAAGGTACGTTCAGGAAAAGTTCTAATGAGCACACACATATATATGAATGTATGTATGTATATATATTTTAAGATGAGGATTAATTTCTATTCAAAACCATCAATTCTTTTGACTAACTGAATTATGCTTTAACTATTTCAGTAAAACGTTCTGGTGTTAAGAGTGCTGTCTACATGTGCATCATTAATTTATTTGAATTGATTATGCAGATATTATTCTGTTATATACAAAAGAAAATATTTTCAATATGTTTTCTACAATTAGGATTATTTAATTTACACAAATTATTTGCCTTTTTTTATTTATTTGTTTGTTTGTAAATAGGTTTGAGTTAATCGTGCATTTAAGAACAGTTTATGTTAGTTCCTTGGGATCTTCCAGATCATGTAGATGTAATTTGTTTGTTTACATTAAATATTGTTTCATCAGAACTCATAATTTTTTTAAAACTGAATTGGCGTAACTTTCAATTTTTCATTCATATGAAAATAAAAAGTTCATTGCAAATGTCCATTAATCAGTCGACTATACTTTCACATGTTAAAACTGAATTCTATTTTATATAATTTTCATTATACGAATTACTTTAAGTGAATCAGTTCTCAAAATATAACTGATGTGCAGCAGTTTGATCCAGTATTTATGAATATTATAAACTACATATTAATGAACTATAAAAAATAAACACTCTATGAATTTAAGTTATTTTTTTAAGTAAACAGTACTAATTTCAAGAATTTTTGATATGACAGAAATTTTACATTGTAAGAAATGTAATGATTACTAGCACTGCAATTTTATCACAGGTGGATAAGGGGCCAAAATCTATGGGCAGTCTTGAGGTAAATAGCGAAATTTGCAAGTTTTGCAGCCTAGGATATATACTAGCAATTTCATGATCAAGGATGTATTTAAGCATTTCAGGGGCTGGGGGGAAATACCTACCAGGGAAAGAAGCAATAGCACAAATAGCGAATATAATGAAATAGGCATTATATTTTAAATTGAAGATTACATTCATAAATTAATCAATGTATTTAAACAGATATTTCATTGGACAAAATTTTATGCCTTGCATTGTCCATGTATAAGATTTTCTTCATTAAAATAAGTTCATTTAGCTTTAAAGTTTTTTTGATGGGACTGGCATGCAACAAAGGGTGTCTTTTTATAAGAAGTATGACATTTTCTTAAGGACTTGGATTTTTACGTCATTTAAACATTATTGTAACTGGAAGGGAAAGTCAACTAGTGTAGAAAAGGCTGGATAAGTACTTCAATGATCATGGCATTATAATACTGTATTCTTAGAGTTCCTGTATGGTATAATGAACAGTTAACAAAAGTGTTAACTTACTAAATTTCTCTATTCCTCTGTGAGAAAGTTTTTCTCAAAGAGGAAATTCCACAATCATTCTTCCAAAATATGCATTATAAATCATGAACTCAGTAATAGCATTCCAAAACACACACTGAAAATTAAACATTAATTGACAAAATTGTATGGTGAATATATTTGCTCAAATTTTATGGCAAAATACACCCATTTAGGAACAATTACTTAATATAGCACAATTTTGTCATTAAAACTGTGCATTACTACACTTTATTGATAAGTTGTAATCCAAAGCAAAAGTGATAAAGAGTTGGAATAGATATTCTTCAGTACATTTTATGTGAGCTAAAAAGTTACCAAGTATAAGAACTATTTTCATCATTTTATGCATAAAGTGTAAAATTAATAAATCAAAAAATTATTCTCGGTATTTTAGCTAGTTTATTCACTAGACTTTTAGAAAGTCAAAAAATAATGAATTTATTAAAGTTCAAAGCTATCTTTCTACATAAAAAAGATAGGAGACTTTTTATTATCATAAAATGAGACCACATAATAAAGGTTCCAACATTTTTATGCAGATGAGCTTCTAATATGATAAAAAAAATTTTATTAAGCAAGCATTTTTTACACCATGGTATTGCTCTGCAAATAGTTTCAATTTGCTACTATGATTAATAAAACAAAAATCCTACACACATGATGGTTTGGACATCCTTCTAAAGGTCACTTTCCAGTTAAAAACTGATTTTCATATATGTGAAGACACTTACGAGTGTCTTTTTAACACAAGTTGCCTTACCTAAAGCTGTAGGTATTTATTTACAATAAGGCACCAATAATGAAAGCATCTTCATAGAATTAAATGTCTTTTAGTAATTTATAATGATGATTTCACTACTTTAGCTGATTGTGTGCTTAGATAACAAAATTTGTGCTCCTCATTTTCATCAAAAGTTAAGATTAATGAAAGGCAGACATTATAGAACCATGCTTTATTTTACAGTCATTATACACGACAATGCAAGCTGTGATTAATTCAGACTTCATTCTTCAATAACTACATTTGTGTATATGATGAACTTCATTCCAACTCTTCCAAACTTGCCTCAAAATAACTGTAAAATAAATGCAAAGTAATTGTCTTCATTTATAAAAATTTAAAATATTCATCATGATCCTAAAAATTTGTTCGAATAACATCATTCTTCTTCTAAAACCACATTTTCTTCTTTTACAAGGAATTCAACTACTTCTTCTTCTAAATTTCCAGTTTCTGCATCAAGTTCATCTGTATCAATATCTTAAAAGAAAAAGCATTATTAATTAATGGAAGGAATTCTAACCATAAAATATACGTAATTTTATATCATTACTGAAAAAAAAAATCTCGTAAGAATGATTCATAATATTCACCATTTCGTAATTCCAAGCGCAATTTCTTTTTGCTGTTAAATTCATCTATCCTCTTTTGCCTAATACTTCTAAATTCGTCCATTAATTTTCTTCTTTTTTCAACAATTTCCTTGAGAAATAAACACAGAATTATAAGCACTTCTTCACTTTTAAAATTATTTAAAATAATAAACATAGAAAGAAAATACATTTTAAAGCTATCTCAACCACAGAGTGAGATCTTCTTTGCAAAAGATTCAATATACTTGAGAATACAAAAACTAATTCATTTATTGCTATTCCTCATACTGTACTTTATAATGTTATATATTAAAGTTTTTCTAATAATCCATAATATTGCATATTTTACCTTATGAAAATTAACTTCAGAAAACTATTTTTTTTTAATTATATCACAGCAGTTTAAAACTTGAAATTCAGTTTATATAGTCAATGAAATACTTTATAAAATCTGCTTATTCAATTATTTCAGAAAAAATACATTTTTTATACTATATGAACTTTTGAATAAAATTTTAAAGTTGTTATTATATACTCTGAGGATAAAATAATACACTGTTTGTCAAATTAAAGGATACAGACAGAAATAAAACTACTTATTGCAAATGATAAAAACATTTTGTACAAAATCATTATTTAACATAAGTCACATTTATGGAAATTTAAAAATCATATCCTCTGTTTTGAAACAAATTTGTAATATGGTAAAAAGTCACCTCTCACAGAAATGCAAACCTCACATTTTAATTTAATAGAATTTACCATACTGTTGCTTGGGTCTAGTGGAATTGCATATCATTCTTCAGAATATATAGTTTTCAGACTTGGAAGGCGTCTGGCAGCATAAGGCATCTCACAAATGCCCAGTCTGGTACGTAAGCTGGCTAATCCATTTGAATGAAATCCTGTTTCTTAGTATTACCCGATAATCAGAAATGCTTGATGCGCGCAAACACTGTCATCCAAAAAAAAAAAAAAAAAATCCTAGCCAACAGCACTCTTACATAGCCTTTCATGGGGTTCCAAGATTTTGTTCACAGATCTGTAACTGATTACAGAACTTCCATCAAAATATGCAATGCCACATTGAACATATTTACCAATAATTTTACCCACTATTATTAATTATCGATATTTATCAATAATTTCATCCCAAATCATGAAACCGTTTCCATGGAAATGGGATCTTTCGTGAAGTCAAATTACATAGAATGCTTTTACAAATTACATAGGCATACTGTTTTTTAATCTGGAGGGTTCTTCGCTTGCTCTATATGAAAAACACATATGCTCTATATGAGTCATAGTTCATGTTATATCTGGACTTGTGTCAATAAGAGTACATGGCTCATTTCTCCTTAAACAAGCCCCTTTGGAAGGTAGAATGAGTGGATTATTGGTTTTCTTACACACATTATATCCAACCTTTATGCAGCAGAATGGCTGATTTCAGATGCTATGACAGCCTGAAAACCTAATCTTCTGCAGATGCTTCATGATTTCTTCAGGACAGAGAAAATGCAGTTATTGCTCATGGCCAGGCTTTCTACTAACTCATTCAATGCTTTAAAAGCAATTCCAAATTCTTGATAGGCCACTTTGATCTATGTGTATGCCCTTCCCCATGTCAATCAATTAATACCCACTTTTGCTCTTCACTTAAATCATTTATTTCAATCACAGCTACTAAACTAGTGAGAAACCATATTAACTAAAGCTAGCTAGTTAAAAAACATATTTAATAAAAACAAAGCTGCACAGCAAAATTCCAAATATACCCATTTCAAAACAAGTTGTCATTCATCTTGTTTGCATACTTCAAGTGCATTAACCAATGCACAGAAGTAAAATTTTGCATTTTTTTTATTCTTTAATTTTGATGAGCATAGTATTAGCACATGTAAATGAAATCCTCAATAACAGGAGGGATTTTAATTCTTTTAGTTTCACAATATTAACCCAAACTGCTAATACTAATTATTATACAAGATGCTCATTATTATCCTATCTAAGGACATTTTCTCAGATTAGGAAATTTATGTGCAATCACATCTAACAGAAATAATTAGTTGAGCAACAATGTTACAATCTTTTGGAATTAATTAGAAATCTTTGTTATGAAAAGAGCATGAGCGTATAACTACAGGAGTTTACATTCCAGAACATAGCAGTTCAGACCTAGCATTTGTACACACACAATAGAAGAGAAACTAAAAATAATGTTAAACACTGAAGAGTAACAACAATAAAAATTTCAAAATTTTTTATAATTTATTAACTTCTTCATTGAAAAAATTCATTGATTTTATAGCAAATGGGCTTATGCTGGAGATACTAAAGCAACAAGAATCAAGCATGAAGTTACACTGCTTCTTGTTGTTTTAATATTCCCAGCATTTGCTCTTTGACATATTATTTTAGTTAGTACAGATGGGCATATGTAGAAAAAAAAAATTGTTATGCAATTCTGTATTTATTTAAATTTAGAAAATGTTTCTCAAATAAAATGGAAAATTACAATGTCTCTACATCTACAACACTGCACTAAGAAAAGAAACATTTAGTTAGCATGAAAGCAGGCACATATTACTTTATAATTTTTTGTTATTAAAAAGAAATACTTTAATTCAATAAAATAATCTGATTGTATAAAATTTTAATCAAATTCAGTGTTGCAGGAGGAAAAAATATTTTCTTATAACCAAAATAACTTTACAATTAACATTCATTTATCAACAGATTTTATGTAAATTTTAATCAGCAACTTATAAAGTAATGTTACTTTAGCAAGATAGCAAACTTTTCCCTCTTAAATTAAAAACCAATTCATACAAATGTAATTTTGTACACATTTCATTTTAAAACTCATACATGACAGAATTGGTCATATTTTAAATCAAATGTATAATTTTGATTTTTACAGAGCCTTCATTAGTTTTATATAAGAACTACAATTACGCACAATTAGAAATACTTAAAATTTATTCAACAGTAACTTTCCTTTTGCCTTTTTTTATATAAATTAAAATGTTTGGTTTATAAGTCAAACATGACAATGAACAGTTTTCTTTAAGGTGTCTGTTGTTTTCACACAAAAGTCATGATATGTCCTTAAATGTATTTAGGTTTCAATAGCAAACAAAAGTTAATTCAGAAGTCAAACAAAAAAAATCAGCATTATATTTTCAAATTTTCACAGGACTAGTATCGATGGTTTTACCAAACCACCATCCTCAGCTGCAAAAGCGCAAATGAACGAGATAGGATATAATGATTAGATACGATAAGAAAGCCTGGACAGAAGATAAGCTAGTGGCACCATCTGCTGATGAAAACAGAACTAAAACATAATTTCCTTAAAGGCCGAAGGCAAAGATGGATCGGAATTAGGATTCTTAACTAGAACAGAAAGATTTTTTTGAATGTGATATGCCTCTAGAAAATCCACTTCTCCAATGGAAGATGTTTTTGAATAATTTTGGCAGCAAAAAAATTGAAAGTGTGATTTTCGGACCAACAATGCTGGGGAACAGAAGACTTTCTGTTTTTCGTTTTTTTCTAACATATGCCTCATGTTCCTTAAAACGCGAAATTTTAAGGCTCTCTTACTTTGACCAAAGTAAATTAACCCACACTGGCAAGGAATGCTGTAAATACCCCCAGGAATTCATATCCGGAATGGGGTCCTTGAGTATGGAAATCGGAATTTTATTGATAGGAGAATAAACGACCCGAAAGTTAAATTTCTGAAAAATATGTGCAACTTTATAGTTAACTGATGGAAAGAAGGGAATGAAAACAAAATTTTTATCATCTCCTAAAACAAGAGTGTGCCTTTTAGTCATCCAACTTTCATGTCATCCCACTAAATAAAAGTTAGCTTCATTTTATTCCTATGTTTTCCATGCTCTTCAAGTTTGCTCCTCCAAACTATCCCTTGATGAAGAACTAAATTATTTAAAAGCAATAGCTATTGACAGGGGCTTTTCACATAACATTATTAATCAAGCAGCTAAAAAATTCTCATCTCAACACACTAAAAGGCACACTCTTGTATTAGGAGATTATAAAAATTCTGTTGTCATTTCCTTCTTTCCGTCAATTAGCTATAAAGTTGCACATATTTTGCAGAAATTTAACTTTCGGGTTATAAAAATTCTGTTGTCATTCCCTTCTTTCCATCAATTAGCTATAAAGTTGCACATATTTTGCAGAAATTTAACTTTTGGGTCATTTATTCTCCCATCAATAAATTTCCGAGTTCCATACTCAAGGACCACCATTCCGGATATGAATTCCTGGGGTATTTATAGGATTCATTGCCAGTGTGGTTTAATTTACATTGGCCAAACTAAGAGAGCCTTAAAATTTCGCGTCAAGGAACATTAATCATATGTTAGAAAAAAGGAAACACAGAAGTCTTCTGTTGCCCAACATTGTTGGTCCAAAAATCACACTTTCAATTTTTCTACTGCCAAAATTATTCAAAAAACATCTTCCATTGGAGAACTGGACTTTCTAGAGGCATTTCACATTCAAAAAATCTTTCTGTTTTAGTTTACGATCCTAATTCCAATCCATCTTTACCTTCGGCCTTTAAAGAAATTATGTTTTAGTTCTAGTTTCATCAACAGATGGTGCTACTAGCTCATCTTCTGTCCAGGCTTTCTTATCTTATATAATCATTATATCCTATCTCGTTCATTTGCGCTTTTGCAGCTGAGAATAGTGGTTCTGTAAAACCATCGAAACTAGTCCTGTGAAAATTTGAATATACAAAGCTGATTTTTGTTGTTTGATTTCTGAATTAGTATTTGTTCGGCATGTTATTGTGTCTTAATTAGCAAACAGAAGCTTTTCCTTTTAACAATATATAATGGCCTTGAAAAGAACCCTTTTCATGCATCAAAATTAGATTTAATCGATAAAAACAGCACAGTTTAGAAAAACTTTAAAAAATTTCTTGCCCAAAGTTCCATAACTATCTTAGAATTTGCAATTTATTCAGAAACATAAAAACTTCTGAACACAAATAAAAATAAACACAAAATTTGCAGTATAAATTTTTAGCAAGACTGTGAATTGTTAATAACTATCACATATGGATACAAACTACTACTTATTTTCAGCTCTTTGACATATTATACTTACTTTGGAAGCTTTAGATAATGTCATTCGATCTTTTATATCAAACTGAGCACTGTATTTTTTAAGATTCTTTTTGATTTCCTACAAAGAAGTTGAGGAAAATAGGTTAAAATTCAAGAGTTTTTGAATATAAAATATTTATAAATGAGTATTTAACTAACAAAATTCTTTTCAAGGAAAAAAAAAAAGTACCATACATTTGAATAGATTATTACTTAAGCATTCCATATGACAAAAATAATTCAATAAATCACCATTCTTTATAAGCTTTTAATATACATTAAGAATGTACATAAATATCTTGTTATAACAGAACATTTCTACCACCAACAAATTATCTTTACATTCATAAGTCTTCAAACCCTGAACTTCAACTAGTTCAGAAAAAATACTGCTGATTGTATGTATTAAAAAAGAACAGTATCAATTTTACCCATAAGAACATAGATTGGGAAAAAAAATTATTCCAATTGAAAAGAATTTTAAATAAACAAATAAATACTCTGTTCAATGCCTCTAGCTATCAGCATTCTTTTGCAAGGTTGTTAAAAAGTGATATAGATGAAAAACACTTCAGGATTACTTAATATAATACTTACCTTTCACTGGAGGTGGAGAATTGGGGATATAAGTAAATTTACCCCACATTTAATATTTTTCAGACTAAATATAACAGGACAAAGCACCATAACATTTATAAGAGAATTTAGTATATAGTGAAATATGTATTTATACAATCAAACCATTTTTTGTGTGGGCCTTTTTTGTGCAATTTTTTTTTACGAGTTATATAAATTTCAACGGTTATCTAGGGCATGATTGTAACTTTTAAGAAACATTATGTGAAATTAACTTTCAGCTACATTTTGAAAAAAACTAGAAAACAATGGAATAAGCCTGGCTGAAGTTTGAAAAAGTTTTCAATTTTAGACTGCATAAACCGCGCCACTGCAACAACATTTCAAATAAAACAACACACTTTAAATATGTGCCGCAAAGCAATCTAGACAGAATGTGTCATTAATAGAAATGTAACCAAAAATATGTCCACATTATCATCAGAAATTAGTGTGCTAGCACGTAACATCAGCAACAAAAATTTTGACACTTTCAACGAAAATGATCTTGCCGAAATGGATAAGGACGAAACAGTCAATGATAGTGACATTATTAATAACTTCACAGATTATGAAGACAGACAAAAGGAACCGGATTCTATGACAGCAGATATGCAGAGATCCAGCTTTGTAATAAATTGGAAAAGCATTTTCTTAAAATAGATAATAATTCTGAAAGGAGTTTGAAATTCAAAAAAGAACTTTGATCATGTATATCTGGCTATCATAATGTTTACAAGCATCTGATCAAGTGACCATCCTCGCAAAAACTTATTGCCAATTTTAAGGTAACAAAAAATAAATCAATTGTAATTATCTTCAAGTGATAAAAGGGATTTTGAGCCAGTTCATCACAAGAAGATGTGTGTTTTGGATTATGATGAGCAGTAGTGAATTATGCACATTTTCAAAATTAGAAATTATTTTTTATAATGTTTCCATGTGTAATTTAATTATTTATTTTGTTTGAAAGCTTTTTCTCAATATTTTGTAAATCTTTTGAGCGTGGATTTTTTTACTCAGTCCCTCTCCATCAAATAAAATGTTTCTATAATACGTTGCAAAAAATTATTTGTTACAAGTACTTATGAAATTTCTGAACATATACAGTCAAAAGTCTTTAATCCGGACGTCCATAATCCGGAATAATCTATAATACGGACCTCAAAGCTACAAACTTTCTGCACATGCGTTAACGCATGCGCATAATACGTTTACACATGCGCGTTTAATGTATAATGGACGGTATAAGCTAAGCTAAAATTATCTAATTATCTATTTCAGTTAATGTTGCAGATTGCATTGTTCCTTAATCCTCAGTCTTCTAGTTGAATCCGGCTTATTATTTTTTGCAGACTGTTAGAGCAATTTTATAAAAGTAAGCTTGAACCTTCGATTATGTAAAAAAGAATTTCCGATTCTGGAGCTACCAAAGGATCTACAAAGTGAAAGCATGTTTCGATGTCCATCAAACAAAAAGTGGAATTGCTGCAAAAAATGGATAAAGGCATATCCTGATTCTCTTACCATTCCGAAATATGTTTATCAATTTCACACTGCTCTGTGGGGAAGGGGCAATGAACTGGAAATTGATCTGTCCGCATTATTCTTATCTCAGGCCAGATGTTTTTATTTTATTCGGCTTATAATTCCTTATTAAATTAGTATTTCATCTCAATGTACTCCATATTTGATATGATTTAAATCAAATTCCTCGTCATTATAAATATCATGAATACACATCAAATAGTTTTCTGGTTGCAATTTTCTAATTTCGACTATGCGTAATGCATGCTTTACGCATGCACGCATTGATAGAAATGTTTAATAAAGCAAACAAATAAATATTAAGCTTTCCCCCCCCCCTTTTTTTTGCGTGTGTGTGTGTGTGAGAGAGTAAATTTTGATACCCTTTAGATCATAATTGCTCTTTATTTCATAAATTACGGTTTCATATTTTTAATTTTATAATTTCTGGTTGCCATGTTACCAGATTTAAACTGATGATCTATAATCCGGAAAAACCAATAATCCGGAATCGCCGAAGTCCCGACGAGTCCGGATTAAAGACTTTTGACTGTATATATATTTGTGTGTATGATTTCTTTTACCACACAAAAACAGCTTTAACTGTACTCGTGTATGCACAAAAGTTAATGTTCCAAAATCCATCCACATACAAATCACAGCAAAAATTAGGTAGCAATAAAATTGATACAACTGTACTAATTAATAAAAATTAATCATTTTCAATCTAAATCACAATATAGATCCAACAATACCTTTGAAAAAAATTTTTTCTTACTTGTTTGATAAACAAATCTTTGCATGAATTTTACAACATTAGCTGGAGTAAATATTAACCATTATTTATAACATTTTGAAAATGAACAAAATGGGGGGAATGAAACAGTTTTATATCTTCCATCCTACCGGGCCCATTGACGAAATTCAACTTTTTTCATGTCTCAAAAGCACAACTTAGGATATGTATTAAATTTATATATAGTGTACAAATACAGATATTTTGACACAAAATCGAACTTTCTCTGAAATGACATGCTATTTTTTTCCCCCCCCCATATTTTGACTCTACGACTCAAATTATGTCAAACTGCCAAGTTTTGTTAAAATTGCACAAGTACTTTTTTAAAAATTAGGTCTCAACATTTTAGCTCCTCAATGTTAATTGAATTTGATATATATTTATTAATATCCTTTTTTTTTATTAAAAAAACTTATTTGATTCTTCCTCTAAATTTAGGTTCATTCCAAATAAAATTCGTCCATTTTTATGATTTATTTTTAAAATTTGTATTTTTAAATAATTTTTATAAATTTTTTGAAAAACACGAAATTAAATTTATATTAAACGAATTATAACAAATATTATTTTTATAAATTATAATTTATAAAAGTTTTGCCACCATCTTAAAGTAGATGTATTTTTAAACATACCTGCAAAAAATTAAAGTTTTAATTCAAAATTTTTTAAGATATGTGTTAATTTACATTTTGACCCGTTTTGAAATTTGGCATATTTATTATAAGCGATATAACGAAAATCTGGTTTACGCACTTTAAAATTATTTAAAAGTATGAACGATGACTTTTTTTTTTGCTTGTGGACAATAAAGAAAAAGGAAAGGAAAATAGGTTGCTATAAATTAAGAAGTTTGCCAAGTGAATTATTATTGGCGCAAACTGAAAAAAATTTGCCAATATAAACTTTTAAATTTCTCACCAAAAATTACAAAATTTAATATCTAGGCATAATTTGAGTTATTGAATGGCAATATGGAAAAAAATTGGCATGTTATTTCAGAAGTGGAATTTTGTGTCTAAATACTATGTGAGAACAATGCTATATATATAAATCTAATATATATATCCTAAGTCACACTTTCAAGACAGGGAAAACGGAATTTAAATTTTGTCAATCGGCCCAGTAGAATGGGAGATACAGAACTGTTACCCTTTTTTTTTTCGCAGTGTTCTTTTATGCATGCTTAAGGTTTCTGTTATTTGCTAAATCCATACACATAATCCAGAAAAATTATTAAATATAAATTTTCATTGCCAAAAGTAAACTCTATAGCAAAATTTAATTACTTTTTGAAATTTTAGAAGACAAAAAACAACATTACAGCAATAAATATAGTAATATAAACTCTGAATCCTAATTTAGAGACAATTTAGTGACTAATTTCTTTAACAATTTTTTTGTTAAAGCAACAATTTTCTGTGTACTACTTTACTTCCAATAATTTCATCGCTTTATGAAAAACATTTCTTCAATGGCTAATAAGATTTGTGATCTATATTTTGAAGTAAAGTTATCAATTCACTTAAATTCATAATTGCTTTTAATTGTGCATATACATAAAAGCAAACTGTTATCACAATTAAATTTGCCTTAGAGAGGCAATTGTTAATTATTTAAAATTTTCAAATAGGTGCTTTTATGTAATGAGCAAATGCATATGCCATAAAATATATTGTTGTTCTGATTATTTTTTTCTCATTGTATAACATCTGTACCATATTTGTTTAATATCTATTCCATAGTTGCCAAATGTTAAAACCAGGAGATTTTTCACACAGAAATGCTGCATAGCAACACCATTTCAAAGGAACTCCAAACTGAACCTCATTCATTTTATAATGCCTGGTTCAGGTCACTGAATTATTTGTAATTCAATTCTGATATGAATTTATATTAACATTTAATTAGATATTTTAAATTTCAAGTTCTTTGTCTAATTGTTTTTAACTTTCTTAAACTTTTATATTAAAATAACCCCAAGTAGTGAAAGAAAGCGTTTATTTATCAAAGTACTTTTAAATACCAAGAAAATAAAATTAATAAACATTGTATTTGTGTGGATAAACTTCATAATCGACTATAACATTGCTTGAATCTTCTTCATGTAAAAGTCCAGAAATGTCTAGATTAAGACAACTAAGATCAAATCAAATTTGTAAGGAAAGTTCAATAACAATAAAATATAATAAGAAAAATTACAATTCAGACAAAATAAAATTTAATAATAGAAATTACTCTGAAAATCATTAAAAGTGGAGGAAAAGAATTATTAAATTTCAAGTTTCATTAATTCAATAAATTATATTTATTGCTTAAAAGCACTTTCCTCTTTGAAGGCTAAAAATTAAAAACTGGAAGTCATCCAGTAAAGCCAAGATTTGGCATCTATGCTATTCCTACTATAATTTTAGCAATTCATTTTATGTAAATTAATTTATAAACTAAACAAAGTTAATTAGCTTTATTATGTTAGTTCGTACTGATAAAGAAAATATATAATCTTACATAAGCCACTGTAATAATATGAGGAAACAATGACAGAAAACAAATAAGAACAACCATAATACACATTTATGAAATTATTGAATGCATACATATATTATTATGACTCCTTATCTATATATTATATACTATATATTGTATTTTTGCTTTGAGAACTGATCATCTCCTGGCTTTCAAATATTCACAGTTCAAACAAAACAGCACTTGAAACCTTGAAAAATCTTAATATAGTGCATTATTGCATATTAATATGTTTTACATTTTTTATTTACTTATTTGCAACGACCTAGCAATTTTTCTCTCTTACATACTCTCAGATAAACAAATTCACATAATGTTTTTAGAAATAGAAAACTCTTCTTGCAAGACAGAAGGCAATTATTGATGTGCACTTCATAATTTAATCAGTCTGGGACCATCTCTGAGATTGTTCTTTTATAAATCTTCTCTATTTGTTAACATACATTATCTCCCTTTTTTACAATATTTTAAACAGCACTCTCACAGACAGCAATTACATTTTGTACACCCAAAACTCATATGATTAGTAAAGGGCTGCATTGAAATTTCATATAAATTTGATGCTGATTTAAGTTATGATTAAAACACATTTCAGTTACCTTAACAGATATGGTTTGAATATCTCTTATGGTAATAAAACTCATACATAAATATAGTTCAGGTACAATTCAATATTATATTTACTATTATCCCTTTAACTTCATTACAATTCAATAATAAATTCACTATTATCCCTTTAACTTCATTACAATTCAATAATAAATTCACCATTATCCTTAACACATTGAGTGCCAAGCGTATTTCTTAGGCAATCCCGTTGAGGGCACGCGCGCCGCTTTAAAGCGCTGGCATTGTAGGGCCAGCGATTCTTATTGCAGTAGAAGATAGTTTACATTTAAAACGTGATTCCTATAGGCACACATTCAACACGTTACGCTCCAAGTCTGTTTTGTAAATAGTTACATTCTATGCAAAGATATTACGAAGCAGAAAATTAGCATTACTGAAGTCCAGAAAGAATTAGCGCTATCCCTTACAAGTTGTGAAAAAGAAGATATTCCATTGAACAGAAATGCAAGAATATCTAAAAAACGACAGCATAAACTCCAAACAAAACCGGAAAAAGCCTCTGAAGTACGGAAATATTGTAAATTATGCTATGATAAAAATGCAACTGAAGCTGGTAGACTAATGGCCAGAAAAAAGACTAAGACAGTTGTCACAATTTGTAATAGCTGTAATTGAGAACTGTTTTTATGCTTACCGTGTTTCAATGAAATCCATTAGTCCTGTAATGAATCAAAATTAAGTAAATTTTAAATAATTTTTCTGTAATTCCACAAAACAGAGTAAATTGTACAGTTATATATCATGTTACGCGCTGTCAGCCAGCAGCGGTCGACGCGGCCTAAACGGAAAGTCTAGTGTCAGCCACAGATGGCTGACATGACACTCAACATGTTAATTTCATTATCTCCACACTATATCACTTAAACATAATATTAAGTATGTCATGATTATTATACTTTCATTCAAAGTGTGGAAAGTATATAAATATTCAAGGAAATTATTCAAAATAACAGCAATTTTTTGTATTAATATAGAGTTTAATAGAAATATATATATGCATGTAAGTATAATCAAGCAAATGATCTATGTATCACTTCCATTGAGAAGCAGAAGAAAAACCATTCCATCATCTCATATTAACATCCAATTATCCTATAGGTAAACACGACTGCAAATTATTGCATTTGCATCAATTCACAGGATTTGTGGTTTTATAAACTTTTCATTTAAAAATAATGTATTTTTAACAACTATTCATTAGTTTCCAAAAGCTTATGACATTTATTATTATTTCTAAGAACTTTTCTAAGAACTCCACACCCCAGTTTTAAGATGCCTAGATCTTCATGAATTTGAAAATCTTAAATGTGCAAGATTTATTTTTAAGGAATAAGCAAACAAAAAAAAAAAAAAATGCATGCATTACTTTTTTAGTTATACTAAAATATCCAAATTATTTTATATACCTTAATTTTCTCTTCTGATAATAAAGTTGGTGGCCGAGGTCGCCAGAGTAACTGACAAAATCTTTCCAAGTCATTTTTCCGAAGAAGTCTTCCTTGGAATGTCCACAACCAGAATGCATTATCAACCTTGTTTTTAAATAAAATAAAATTTATTCAACATTATTTAAATTGTTAATGTATATTACCATAACCTGTACCTTAAAAGGCACACACTTATTACCTTTAATAATGAAAATATGACGTAATTATAGACAAGAAGTTGCTGTATATACATTCTAACTGTAGCCATTATAGCTGGCTCTAATTTTATTAACTCATTAACAGTTTCCAAGATAAAATTTTCTTTTATGCTTTTTAAAAACTGAAGAATGCAGAAGTTGGAATAAATAATTTTTGGATTTACTACTTTGTTAATAATTTTATGATTACTATTTTAATGCAGAATGAAGTAAAAACACAAATTCTTATTCTCATTTATTAGTGTATTTTACCTATCATTTCACAATGACCTTCACATATAAACTGCAGTTATTTCCTCAATGAAATAATTGCATGACTATCTTATAATTCTTTACTGACAGTTTACAGCCTCTTAGAAGATCTGCCACATGAAGCATACCATAGTTCTAAAGCAATTTAGTTTTATCTGCCAATGCCACTTGTCCAGAGGTGAAAAAGGCAACACAAAAAAGGCTCAAGATCATGATGCTTATTGCTAAGCCAAGATAAAAAAATTAACTATTAATGCTGCAGTTACTAATGACTAATTAAGATTAAAATGTATATGCATTGTGGACTACAGAATATATTAATATAATTATAATATATACCAAATAAATATATATTAATATAATTTTATAATGTGAAATAGAAACATGATGTTGCTTAAGTCAGTAATCTCCTCTCCTAATACTTACTGTTAATAAAACTATTTCCAGTTCAAATCACAATGGAAACACGCTTAGAAACATTATTATACATAAAGCTAATAATCCAATGATTAAAAATGATGTAAATAAAGTAAATTAGAGACCAACCACTGCACGATTTCTACAATAATAATATCAACATATAATTATAACATGACGAAAATTTTTAAAATATAATTTAACTTTACAAATATTATTACTCTCCGCCATGTGTATTTCATGCCTTTGCAAAAAAATAATTCAAAATAATGATTTACAAACTACTTTTAATTTTTTACATTCATCAATGAATATTTAATCATGAATGAACACAAATGAAAAAAAAAATTAATCTCTTCTTCTCAATAACATTTTTTAATTATACACAGCAAAGGTGAGAAAACAATACATATTTTCAAGCAAATTAAACCAAGAAATAAATTAATCACACCCCTGAATTAAAACAGAAAAAAAAGGAATTGCATATTTAGAAAATACGAGATTTTTTTTAGTCATAAAATTTCATACATTGTTAATCATAAAACATTTTATTTTACAACTTAACAGCAAAAGATTTACTAAGAACTATTTTCATTTTGCTTACTATTTTTACAAGGAAATTCTTTTAAAATAAAATACATATTTATTATATGCACCTTATGCATCCACCAGCTAATTCCAGAGACAACATATCTACCAGTTGGATCCCATTCTATGTCAGTAGCCATAAAATGTTCACTTTGAGCCATTACAGTAAAATCTGATGTGTCTATAAATTCTAAACTGCCGCTCATCCTTGAAAATGAGAAAAAAAATACAATTTAAATATTATACAAAGAGGAAAAAAAGAAATTTTTATATAATATACAAGTCTTCAATTCTGATCCCTCTTGAAAGAGATCTCTTACAGGAATATTTAAACATACTCTTTCATCTTGCAAATTCAAAGATACACCCATAAATGGAGATTTCATGTCATAGTAATGCCAAAAGTAATTCAGAATGCAAAATTTATAACTTTCACAACATTAGCAGTTTTATAATACACACTGATGAAAGAAATATATACACTCTTAGAAATGCTATATTCATTCAATACTAAATGGCCATTACTTAACACTACAGCATTTAAATTTTCATTATCAGTGATGCCTATGTTATTCTAGAACTTGTAATAAATACTTTTTTTCATTTTCATTCTTTGTTATAATGTCATTGTACTTTTGCATATATGCCATACCCTTTTAACATTAATATTATTAAAAGTCTTTAAATACACTCAAATGCTGCAAAAAAAACATGTATGCACTCAGAAAGAACAGAGACCTATGAAACTCGACAATAGTACAGTATTTGAGTAGATAAACAAATTATCAAAAACTGGGGCAAAAAAGCATTTTATTTGTGAGTAGCAATACAAAAATGTGAAAATTGGTAGTAAAGCTACCCCTGGCTACTCAGTTGAGCTTGGAGTCTGTTAAGTTGAAATGCTCCTCTGTGATAAACTGTGTCACAAATGGAGCAACTGGTCAGAGAGTTGGGACATATTTATACATGGCTGAATTTGCCTGACTAACACATCCCAAACATGTTTGATAGGTGACAGATCTCAAGACTTGGCAGGTCAGTTGAAAACATTGTTGGTTAAAGTAGTGTTGTATGTGACTGAGCGTTGTCCTGCTGGAAAACAGAACGTGGATGACCTGCTAGCATAGGCACAATTAGCTGCAAATTGTCATCAATGTACCTGCAAGCAGTCATGACTAATGGTGAATGGCTGTCCCAGCTGATCACTCCTCATACTGTAAACCATGTGTTCTGGCTGTGTGCCATTTGGAAACAAACGGTACATTGGACCATTCACCTCTCCATCTCCAGACACACATGCAGTGGCCTTCAGTATTGAGAGAAAAGCATGATTCATTGCTGAAGATCATATTTCTCCTATTGAACACTGTCCAGCTTGAGCGATAGCAACAGCATGCAAGATAACACTGCTTATGGTGGAGTGTCAATGGCAAGCGTCTTAATGGACATTGAGACCTGAGCCCAGGATCACTTAGTCTTCTGCAAATTGTCTCCAAGCAAGGTGGCAAATGATATTGAATCAATGACATCATAACTGTTGGTGTGGGCTGACAGCTCTTCTAAGTACGTGATAATTTTACGCACTGGAGTCCTGGGGACATCCCAACCCACTACGGCGGCTGACTATGCCTTCACCGAGCTACTGGTTCCAACAACAAACAACTACCATATTGCTTTGACCAATATGCCAGCTGATCTGCCTATTCGACCAACCAGCCTCTTTTAAACCTATAATATAACCCCTCTCAAAGTCTGACAACTGTTTGTAATGCCAACAACTACATCTTAAAGGCATCTTTTGTTACAATGTTGTGTATCCAAGCCATCAAAGGGGCTGTAAATGCTCGTCACTCACTGCACGTACCCTTTTATATTCTACACGGTTCATATACATTTCTGTACATTCAGTACTTTTAAGGACCATCAATGAAAACAATTAAGGAAATAGGAACCGAATAAACTAAAGCAATTATCTGTACTTGAACTTCACTTTTGTAATATTTAAGAGTAAAATAAATCTGTAAGATGCATTATTATTAACCCTCTAACCAACAAGAATATTTATTCTAGGTATTATTATTTTATTCTAGATATATACTTTATTTTTTGTGATATCTGTAAGAATGTATATATACATGCATATTAAAGTATGTCAAAGAAATTAAGGCAATATATTTAAAAGTACACAAATCCAGGTATAGAATACCAGGAGAATTTTTACATTAAAATCAAGAAAATAATTCTTTCTCATAATAGTTTTGGGAAATTTGTGCTTTCCTAGTGAAAACACTGGCTGGTCAGAGGGTTAAACTTAATTTAAAAAAAATCAAGACTAAAATTAACTTCATAATTTTTTTCAAGTAATTAGTATTCAATTACAAAATTTCTTGAAACATTTAAATTTTACTAATAATTAGCTTCATATTGATTCTTTCTTTTATGCCTCATTTTGTCATATAGTCAGGTTTATGCAACTTTATGCAAAGTGGCATAGCCACAATAAAGATTAGGCGATAACTCACCTTAACATGCAGAGGGAACTTCCAAGACTGTTCAGTTAGTTACAAATAATTAAATTACTTAGTTAGATACCTTTAGTCATAACAGATTTACATTGTTAATTTTTTTTATTATTTTTTAAAAATATCCATTAAGAAATCACTAAAAACCTTTTACAGCAGTTATAATTTATTAAATTGATTTTAAAATGATGTTGGTATAATTATATATCAAAAGCTAGTAGTAATAACAAACAACAAAATGTTTATGCATATTTTTAATTTGAAAATTTTCCAGACATTTTAGCTAATTTAGATAAATTTTCTTCTCTTTGCCATCTTTTCTAGGTTTATTTTTTTCAATAAACAAATCAATGGTCCCACTAGTTTCTGCTTTATCTCCTAATTTATAACTGTTCAACAAGGTACCTTTGAAGAATAATTTTCTTTCTTTCCTTATAAAATCAATTTCTTCTTCAATGAATTTATTCTTAATTTTAAAATTTTCAGATTTAATAAAATATTTTTTCTTATTTTAAAGAATAGATTGTACGTAGAATGTGTAAAAGAAACTACTAATTTTATTTCCTTAATAATACAAGTAGTGAGAATAAATAGGAACTAAGATAAGTTTAAGGCCGGCATCAGAGTCAGTGTGGTAGAATTTTTCAAATTTAGTGCAGCAGCAAGCAACACAAATTAGGGCAAAATTTTAAGAATTTAGGGCAGATACTGAAGTAAGTATCATGCACTGACATATATGATGAATCTTTAACTAAATTGTCGGTTTTCAGTTTCTTTGCTTTATTTGATTGCTTCTATGCTTGCGTCTAGTGGAAAGATAAGAAAATAAACAAAAGATAAACATGTTCAAATTGCTTAAAAGATAAAAAATTCATCTCACATTTCCTATTAAGCTCATGCATTATGTTTTAATACCATGAAGCCACTTTTCATTTTCTCATATTTTTCTAGAATTTTTAAGTCTATAAATCTTGCCTTCAAATCCTTTTAAACATTCTGAGGTGCAAGGTCTGAATTCCAAAAGGAAAATTAATTTACCCAACTTTGCCAGCTCTGTTATTATTCTCTCTATTATATCACCCAACTCTGCCAATTATTTCACTCAACTCTGTAGGAGCAAAAGAGCCAGAAGATCTTTGGGGAAAAAAATCAGAAAAAGGGGAAAAAAATCTGAAGGGTTTCAGATTTTAAATTATGTCCAAAGAGGCTTTTTTTTAATGTTCTGTGTGTTACCTATATTTATTAAATATCATGTTCTATGTACTCAAATCATAAAATTCAGTTCAACAGCAATAGTGCAAAATAATTTTAAAGTGAACATACCTTTAGAATTTCTGATACAGAGTCTTGTGCACTGGAGGTAATTCCCCCCCGTACAGTGCTGCCATTGCTCGCTTTGAAATCATTTAGTTTGTTAATCATATATTCATTGAAGCATTACAAAATATGAAATCAAGAATAAAGCAAATTTCAAATTTAAATTAGAGCTTCCACATGCCCATATTCTATGGAAGCTTACGTTATTCAAATTTTGATGGCTCTAGGTACCATTGTTTTATCAAAATGTGAGAAACACATACATTCATGCAGATTCTTTATTATTTAATTTCTTTAAATAAATGGAACAATAAATAATAATGCTATTTGTGTGCAACGCAAATGCCCTTTGAAAAAATGAAATGAAATCCTTCTGGGCAAGTTGCCCCTTTGGACTAAAAAGAAAAGTCTAAAGTGAATTTTAAACTTACATAAATTTAAATTTTCTGAAACAGTTACTCTTTGGGAAAATATTAATGAAAAAAAAAAAAAAGACAAAGGACAAAAAAATTAAAATTTCAAAAAATTATTACAGACAGCATTTTTGTTTTCTCTAAGATGTGTTTTGGAAACTGCTTTATAGCATTTATTACCTTGTTTTTCTTTCAGAATCAAAATATTCTGAAAGATAAACAAGTCAATGAAATGGAAAGTAATGTCACTTTAAAATATGGCAAAAGACAATAAAAATGTTTTTTATTTTAATAAGATATTCTTAAAATAATAATACTACTATATTATCATTATTTTTTCTGATCTTAATCAATGTTATGTTTGTAAAAGCAATTGTCATATGATCCTCAAATCTCTGAATAAAAATTTTGGTATACAAACTGATTTAGTGATTTATCAAAGTACCCAAAACTTTGATAAATCACTAAATTTAGCGTTGCATAGTTAAAAAAACTTGTATCCCAAAAAGCAAAAAAAAATTGTTTCTGATAAAATATTTTATGAACTCTTTATTCAGAGAAAAATTAAATTATTTTGAAATGCTTGTATTTCTATCGAGGCTGAACCTCATGGCTAAATCTCGAGCATCCACCTTTTATATTAAGAAACAGGAAAGAATTAAAACATTAACCATTAAATACATATTTGTCAATGTACTGCCAAAAAATATTCCTCCAAAATGTTAATTCACACACAAAATGGTAGTCGTATATTATTTTAAAAAAAAATATCAGATGAATAAAATTAAGAACCTTTTGCCAATTTTGTAAGAAATTAAGAACTAAAAAATTTTGGAAAAAAAAAAAAAAAGTACTTTTAAGGATCTACCAACCCTGATTCTACCTAAATTCTACTTCAGATGCACGTTGTATTCCTCCACAATGATGGTTGGTGCTCCAAGTTTAATTATTTACACAACTCACCAAGCTACAGTTATTATTTTTAAATGTTTATGTTTCAATAGAGGCTGGACTTCATGCCTAAATCTCGAGTATCCACCATGTATATTAAGAAACAAGAAAGAATTAAAACATTAATGCATTAAATACATATTCATTAATGTGCTTGCCAAAAACTATTCCTTCAAAATATTAATTCACACTCAAAATGTTAGTCGTAAAAAACAGACAGAAATGTCAGATGAGTAAAACTCAAGACCTTTTGCCAATTTTGACTGAAATTAAGAAACAAAAAACCTAAGTACTTTTAAGGACCTACACACCCTGATTCTACTTCAGACATGCATTGTATCGCTCCACAATACCGATTAGTGCTGCAAGTTTAATCATTTATACAACTCGCCAAGCCACATTTGCATGCTGCATTTCGTAGTTGTGGCTCATTTTTTTTACTGGGTGCATATATTTTTTTCCAACAGAATGTATTTACCTATCATCTTAACTTGCTTGTTATATTTTATGATAAAAATCTATTTCATACTGCAAGAGATCTTGCCTCTTATCTTGATTTGGACACATTTTTATCAAAAAAGGCCAAACATGTAAGCTCCTGAACTAAATACTCAGCTGCATTTTGAGTTCCTTATCAGCAGCTTTAGATGAAACATTTAATTTTCATAAGCTCTACACTGCTGCAGTAAATTGAAGTCATTATGAGGTACTGAAGTAGAAAGATGAGCTACAAACCAAGTTTTAAAATATAATAGGCAGACAAAAAATGTTGCAAAGTCTGTTTCTTTCCAATTTCGTAGCTTTGAATTAACTATAAAAATATCCGCATTTTAAAAGAATACAATATCTTTACCATTCGTCTGTCTATAAGGATGAAGATCCCCTAATTATATAAAACATACATCAGAAGCATTCCTTTAATGGAGATAAATGCAATTATTAAGAATTATCTGGTATTATCTATAAATGGAATCCTCTTAAAGATGGTTTATAGAATTGAAAAGTCCTTCTTATTACGTAATGGTATTATGATTGCTGCATTAATGATTACACTTTTGTAGGATGATTGTATTGAATTGTACTACAGATTACGACATTTAAAAGTATCTATATCAGTGTTAGATGATGAAGACACAGCCTTACTGATCATACTTTCAAGTATGAGTTTAAATATGTGATAACATAGCTTAAAACAACGATTAATTTAGAAGTCAAACGACAAAAATCAGAACACAAATGAACATATAATGATAAGATAAGAATGGCTGGATAGAAGTTAAGTTACTGGTGCCATCAAGAAACAAGAACACTATAACATAATTTCCTTAAGGTTGAAGGTAAAGATGGATTAGAATTAGGGTTGTTAATTGGAACAGAAAGATTTTTTTGAAAGTGAAACACCTCCAGAAAATCTAATTCACCAATAGAAGATGTTTTTTGAATAATTTTGGCTGCAGAAAAGTGGAAAGCATCATTTTCAAACCAGCAGTGCTGGGAAAGAGTACTTCTGCATTTCCTTTTTCCTAACATATGCCTCATGTTCTTTAGCGCAAAATTTTAAGGCTCTCTTAGATTGAAAAACATCGTTTCTTTTTATATTAAATCATTATTCATCACTGTTCCAGTGAAGGGTGCTTTAAGATCTCTAAAAAATCAGACTTTGTGGATTTCATTTCTCCTGCATCAAAATTGATAAGCTAATTTCTCTTACTAAACTCTGAAACAAATTCATTTTATTTTCCAAAATAAGTACTCCAAGCTAACTGAGGGATTAGCCATGGGAAGCCCTCTTAGTTCCATTCTCGCTGATATCTATATGCATTATTATGAATCAAAATTATATGAAACTTTAAACTTTCTGGTATGGTTCCACTATGTAGATGATACTTTTACCCTGTTTGACAGTAATAAAGATGATTTAAATAAAGTTCTTTCAATAATGAATTCCACTGATTCTGCTATTCAGTTCACTTTTGAACTCGAGACATGCAATTCTCTTCCATCCCTCGACATTTTGGTCACACGTAACACATCCAACTTCAGAATTATTGTTTACCATAAACCTTCACTGGCTTGCCTTCCAAAACACTTCAGATCATTTCATCTGATTATGCACTTCCGAGTTCGCTCCTCCAAACTGGCTCTTGATGAAGAACTAAATTATTTAAAAATAGTTGCTATTAATAGGTGCTTTTTCCTCAACATTGTTAATAAAGCAGTTAAAAAATTCTCATCTCAACACCCCAAAAGGTTACAAAATTTTACAAAAATTTTATTTTCAGGTCATTTATTTCCCTATCAATAAAATTCCCAGTTCCATACTTAAGGATCCCATTCCGGATATACTTAAGGATCTCATTCGACATATTTACACATATTACTTTATCAATGTGGTTTAATTCACATTGGTCAAACTAACAGAGTCTTAAAATTTTGCATTAAAGGGCATGTGGCATATATTAGTAAAAAGGAAACATGCAAGTCCTCTGTTGTTCAGCACTGTTGATCCGAAAATCACAATTTCCATTTTTCTGAAGCCAAAATTATTCAAAAAAACATCTTCTATTGGTGAATTAGATTTTTTGGATGTGTTTCACATTCATAAAAATCTTTCTGTTCTAGTTAAGGACCCTAACTCCACAATCTTTACCTTCAGCCTTTAAGGAAATTATGTTTTAGTTTCTTGTTTCATCAATAGATGGTGCCAGTAACTTAATTTCTGTCCAACCATTCTTATCTTATCTCATTCATTTGCACTTTGACAGCTGAGGTGGGTGATTTGGTAAAACCATTGCAACTAGTCCTGGAAAATTTGCAAATATCACACAGAATTTTGTTGTCTGACTTCTAAATTAATCTTATAACATGCTATGCAAAAGCGGTTAACAAAAGTATACAAATGTGCATTCAAGTATTGTTCCACAGTATACAAGTGTGTATTTCTGGTGGCAATAGTGTCACAACATACTACCTTTATCCTTTAAATAATTTTTCACTCTTTAAAAAATACCAGTGCTAGAGCCTTGCATTTTAATGAAACTTGGAATGCCAAGCAACTAAATTCTGCCTAGCAACAAGTCACCAAGACCCACAGTCAATTTATTCAAGTTTCTCATTCTAGTAAAAATAAGGAAGCATAATAGGAATTTCTTTTTAATTTATTTCAAGATTTCACTTCATTTTCTTAACATCTGCGAACTGACAACCTTTCAATATTACTTTGTAGCTAAGACTATCAGCAGTTGCTGCCAAAAACTATACAGCTTTTCTATTACTCAAAAGCTATCAAAAGAAACATATCATGTGAAAACATTTACAAGTGCCCTTTTAGAACTGAAAGCAGCAGAAGTTGAAGGTACTGCCATAATATGATCAGTGCTTCTGTGTGTTTTCTACAGTTCCAAGATCATCATCACCATTACTTCCCATCTGAACCATTTATTACTCTCAATACTTTTTTCTCGGCCCAAATTCTTGATTTTCTTTTCTGGTACCCAACCCTTACATCTTATAAGCCCAAAAGCTATAAAGAGAGATTAAAAGGTATATTTAAAAAGCAATATAGGGGTAAATTCACGATAGAGTTGGAACAGTGGAAATTTCAATTAACTGACTTGAGCAACTCCTAAATGCAGTCAATATAGCATGAAATTTTTCCCAATTTTTTTTACATACAGTAGAACATATAAAAGTCAGAAAACAATATTTTAAAACTTAAAAAATAAGGAGTACCTTATTGCACAAGTAGCAATAGTACGTTTTTTATAAGACTAACAATATAGGATCTCTCTGAATGCCTTAGACATAAAAAGTTGCAGTTTGACAAGTTCATTAATAAATTCATTTTAATGAGTTAATATTTCAATTTGCAATTTATTTTTCATAATTTTGCTTAACAAACTAAGCGATTTAAAAGGAATAAGCAACTTTCTTGGTATTTTGCTGTACCATACTACGATGGAGAACAAGGCCTTGACAGTCACTATTGTCCTCCAGTTTAATTTAAAAAATAAGGTTTAATTTCTTGTATTATTCCATATTGGTGATCAACAACATTGATGGTTTACTTTCATTATAATAACCTATCTGAGATAATTTTAAATACATTCAATTTGTAATATGTTCAAATGATGATTTTTATGACCCTCTGCAGCATTATTTTAATTAATAAAAGACATTTCTAATATCATATATTATATATTTGGTATAGAACTGTTTGTCTCCTCTGATCTTCCTTACCACAGATTTTAATGCCAAAAGATAAGCAGACCATACAAATAAAAAAAAAAAAAAAAGATTTAGATAACAATATTCAAAGCGTAATTTTTAGCTACTACATGAAAACAAAGCAATGCGATTCATAAATTTGCTGTTTTATAAAATTTAAGAAATATCACACTAAAACAGGAAAATGCTGTATAATTTGAATTCTACAATAAATACTAATATAATAACTGTATGTTTCATTATTATTACAAGAATTTAATAATACAATTATTACACTTCGACTTCTGCAATGAACATAATTTATGTTAATTAAAAGAATGTAAATTTTCAAGTTTTACATTTTTTATCTTATAAATAATTTCTGAACAATGCAACTCACATTAAACAACTGATTAGAACAAAAATAAAAATTATCTACTTTCAGTAAGAGCTAAAAGAAATAATACAAAAAAAAAAAAAAAAAAAAGTGTGTACTACATGCACTGAGAAAAACAGAACTTACGTTCTCAATCCTGCAAGAACAATAAACTGTCCATTTGGAGACCAAAACAGACGATTACATTGCTTTCGTTCAAATTTTTCTAGCAATAAAGAAAATAACATTGAAGATACATAACAAAATAGTAAATGTATTATTATTTTCATCAAAATGAAAAGCGATACATACTCAACAAACTCACTGTGCCTCCTGGTTTTATCCCATAAAAACTCACACTGATGTGTGGTGTGTCTCCATGTATAACAGCAAATTTATTGCCCACCGGTTCCCATGCAAAGGCAGTTATGTTCTCTGTTTAATTATGCAATTCTCATTAATTTTAAAAAACAGACATATTCGGATTTCAACTATTTTAATCTTTTACATGAAAAAGATGCTCCCTACCTTTGATTTCTGCACTATCTACAGGAATTTGCTTTTCTCGCATGTGAAATATTTCAAAATTGTAATACATTCCCTAAAAAGTAAATGAAAAAATAACCAAAAATAAGCAGAAATTTGTATGAATTCAAAGTGACACTTAAAAAGGATAGTAAATTGCAAAAACTCGAACTTTTCCGTAAAGTAATGTTTACAAACATAAAAATGAATTTATTCTTAATCTTGAAATGCATTAAGCTTTAAATACTAAAATTAATGCCCTAAAAATTTTAATTTTGCCATTTATTAAAGATATGTACAGCATCATAATTATATTTAGCTATAAACAATACCATAATTTCTGGAAGAAAGGCCGCATCAGCGTAAACACCGCACTTGAGAAAAATGGCCGAAAAAAATTAAAATTACACAGAAATGCCGCATCAGCGTAAAAGCCACAATAGATTAAATTGCATGTGACATCGTCGTGGGCTGTATAGATGCAAAATCTCAACCTATGTCCTGATATATGATATATCAGTTAAGGAAAAATGCATGAAATGAAACCATAGCTCAAAAATAAAGAAATGTTGAAAATATATTTACATTCACGAATATACTTATATTTACCCACTAAAGAAGTCCATATTTGTAATACTCAGACTATATTATAAAAAATGTTGCAACAACGAAATATTAAATTTGGATGACAAAAGGAAATTTTAAATTTTACTTACAAAAGGAATTACAGCAAACTATACATCATATGAAGCCACCAAATCTGATTCTTCACTATCTGAATTAAAAAGATTTAGTAAATCCTGATCCAAGTCTTCCAGATCATCGCATTCATCCTCTTGGTTTACAGTCTCTTTACCTAAGGATATAATTTCAGCTTCTTTGAAACCTGCTATTATTGACGATGTTTACTGATTTCCACGCACTTCCTACCTACTTTGCAAACTTCTTCATAAGATGCTCTACGCATTTTACCACTTTTGGTATTTGCATGCAATCCTTCACTCATCGAACACTCCCACAGCTTTCGGACTTCAGCTTTGAAGGATTTATTACCTGACAAATCTAATGGTTGTAAGATTTTTGTCAAACCACCAGGAATTATTGCTACGGTCGTAGACAATTTTTGACATCTAGTTTTCACTGACTCAAGTAAATGAGCACGCATGGAATCCATTATCAATAACCCTTTTGGTTGGAAAAAAGATCCCTTACGACATTGCCAAACTTTTTGTAGCCACTCATGCATGATTGTTTTGCACATCCAGCCATTCTCGTTTGCACAAATAATTACGTCATTAGGAAAATCTCCCTTTGGAATAGTTTTTTGTTTAAAAATGATCATCGGCTTTAGCTTGTCACCGTTTGCGGCACAAGCTAACACACATGTAAATGGCGTTCTTTCATGCCCAGTTGTAAGCACAGATACAGTTTTTGCACCAGTTTCATCAACAGTTCTGTTTGCAGAAGAGTCGAAAGCTAACGGCATTTCATCCATATTTATTATCTGTAACCAAAGAAGTTTTTTTTTTTTTTTTTGTCAATAATATCTGACACATATTTTAGAAAAGATGCCTTTTTATCCTGCCAGTCCATTGGTAATTGTTGCCCGACTGTTGTTCTAATACGTTTTTTTCATAAATCTGCTACAACCAGCAGGCCCTCCTTTGAAATCATTTATGTTCATTGTTTTGCTATAAATTTGCTTTTTTGCAAGCGAATTTTACAGTCAAATTGCCCCCCCTTTCCCTTCCTCCTCCTCCCCCTTTATCCAGTTTGCAAGGTTGTTCTCTCTAGATTCACCTCCATTAGTTTACCACTTCTTTTGGCTCGTTTTTGTTATGGCATATTTTTAAGTTCTTCTTTTTCAGTTCTCCAATGCTGAATACATCTCTCGTCCACTTCAAACTCTCGAGCTGCTGCTCTATTTCCAATTTGTTCAGCGCATGAAATTACATTAAGCTTAAAACCAGCAGTATAGCTTCTGTGCCGTTTAGGCGCCATTTTCAAAAATTTTCCACTCCCTTCTTACTTAAAAACTATCCAACAAGTACTTGTACCCAAACTGATGAGATCTGTATCGGGCAGAATGCCAAGAAAAATCGATTCAAGCTGAAGGGGAAATATGTCAGAGTTCGTTATTGCAAGGCAGGTGGAGTCATGTCTGCTTTTGAAAAAAATTACAGAATTACAGAAAAGGCAGGGGTGGGGAGAGGATGTGTCCTGGATGATTCATCGAATGACAGAGGAGAGAAACTATTCAAAATGATGAGATTGCTGATTTGAAAGGGAAAGAATGTTATTGTTCTGAGATCCGGTTTAGGGTGAATAAGGCATGTATGTATGTCCATTCAAGGGAAAGAATGTAAACAAAATAACGTTCGCAAAAAGCAACTGAGTGGTCTTTTGTGTGGGAACAGCACGTCTATGTACAATGACAAAGTTACTGAAACTATATATTGGGTTGTTTGGAAAGTAATTTCGTTTTTTGGGGGGGAACATGAAAGACAATTTTCGTATAATGAATAAATATTTTATTAAATTATATATTGGCCATTCTGGGCCAACACCCTTTGCCATCTTTCTGGCAGTAACATGATTCCCCGCTCATAAAAGTTTTGGTCCTTGCTGGCAAAAAACTGATTCAGGTGGTTTTTGACATCTTCATTTGAGGTAAAACCTTTACCATCCAAAAAATTTTGCAGGGACCGGAACAAATAATAATTGGAAGGCGCCAGATTTGGAGAATATGGTGGGTGTTGCAGTATGTCTCATTCAAGCTGTAAAAGCTTTTGGCGAGTGACCAAACTTGTATGAGGTCTCGCATTATCCTGGTGGAACACTACACCCTTCCTGTTGGTTAATTCTGGCCTCTTCTGTTTAAGTGCATCATTCAATTTTTCCAGCTGATGACAATAGACTTCCGAATTAATAGTTGTACTGTCCGGTAAAAGCTAAAAAAAAAACAATTCCTTTGAAATCCCACCAAACGGACAGCATCACCTTTTTTTGGTGAATGTTGGCTTTTGAAACGCTTTGAGCCGGTTCATCTTTTCTGCTCCATGACCTCTTGCATTTCACATTGCTGTATACGACCCATTTTTCGTCCCCAGTAATAATCCGCTTCAAAAATGGATAATTTTCCTGACGTTTGAGGAGTGAATCACACACGTCAACGCGACGACACAAATTTCGCTCCATAAGAACATGGGGCACCCACACATTGAGCTTCGAGGTTAAGCCCAGGCCTTTCAAGTGGCCATAAACAGTCGAATTCGACAAATTTAACCTCTCACTGATCTCTCGTGTGGTTATTCGACAATTTGCATCAACTAATGCCTTTATCGCATCTTTGTCAGCTTCGACCGGCCTTCCAGACCGTGGTGCATCTTCGACATCAAAATTGCCAGATCGAAACTTCGCAAACCAGTTCTGGCACTGGCGTACTGTTAACACGCCTTCTCCATACACATCCGTCAATTTTTTTCTCGCTTGGACAGCATTTTTACCTTTTCTGAAGTAAAAAAGTAAAATATGACAAAAATGCTGCTTATTGCTCTCCATATTTAAAAGGGCACCAACCAAAAACTACTGCGTAGAATTAATAGAACTTTTTCACACACAAGCCTTGTAATATCAGCTCTCAATACATATAATGGTTATGCGGCTTAAGTGTGAAGTTAGTTTCGAAAAAATGTAATTAAGTCCTCTGACGGGAAAAAACGAAATTACTTTCCGAACAACCCAATACAATGACCATCATAGGAAATATTTTATTTTTAGTGCACCTAAACGCCGCATGGGTAGAAACGCCACACCCGCTGAAAATTTAAGTTTTAAACACGTAAACGTCGTGGCGTTTCTTCCGAAAATTATGGTACTTATTAACAGTAAAAATTCAAGATAACCCAAAAATATTAATTAGGTTTATTATAATCATTTAAAGTTTTAAGTAAAAATAGTGCCTTTATAGGAGATAAAAACTGATGAATCAAAAAATTTAACTCTTAAAATAATACATGGAAAACAGAATAAACAGGTATGGCATATACTACTAAATATGAAAATGTCCAAAATTGTGATATCTTAGATGATGCTTTGCTCAATTCTGCCCTAACTAGAACAGGTATGGCATATACTACTAAATATGAAAATGTCCAAAATTGTGATATCTTAGATGATGCTTTGCTCAATTCTGCCCTAACTAGAACTTAGTAACTTTGACATCTAGTCATAACTGAACCAATTTACAAATGTAAATGTTCTCATAATATTGCTTTAAAAACTTCACAAGCCAGCATCACAACGGCCCAGACGCTGTTCAACCATTATTTATAAAAAAACAATGATTTAGAAATGTCTCATTAGATATAACTTTTTTTATTATTATTATTTCTAATGGCAGATTACAAGACACAACTGCAGAGAGAACAAACAAAGACGAAAGAGAACAGCAAAACTAAAAGAGTCCACAACAAAACCTATAAATTTATTTTGTGCCTCAGCTCCCAGTATCTCGCCTACAAAAACCTAACATTAAGTGCAGGGCTATGACTCAGAAGTGAGGCATTCACAGAATAACTTTAAAACAGTTGAATTAATTTTAAATAATTTTCCCCTTATAATTTACACCATGTGGCGTGGAGGACTGGATTTTGCTTGGTGTTCACAATGTTATATTTACTTTCAAATACAACCATGAACTTTACCTCTGGCATTCACAGCACAATTTTTACAAACTGCACAAAATCACTCTTTTAGCAGCAAATTTATGTCACAGAAGCAAAATGCCTAATACAATTTCCCATATTCCTTAAGGACAAAAGACAGAGAGAGAAGGGGGGGAGAAAAAGATAAAATGGGATAAAAATGAAACAGAATTTTAATTAACACTTACACTGTACTTCCATTCATTTTTCTCTTTCTTTGCTTTTGTATACCTATCAACCTTGACACATAAATAACCACCGGATTTCTGCCAATGCATCATACAATCTGCAACACTGAAAAGATTTTTTGCTCTAAGTTCTGTTCGACTGGGTATTTCAAGTAAAGTCACTCGGGCAGGGACATCTTTTTCTTCAGCAACCCAGTAAGCCACAATATTTTGTGTAGGTGACCAAGAAAAATTTCTGCAAAGAGGTAAAAATATTAACTGGTAGAATTATAAAAAGGCTGAAATACTACAACACATTTCGACAAATCAGACTGCTTGGCAAATTAGACAATTTTTTTAATGAATTAATATTTGCAGAACTTAATATGAACTATATGCTTTTTACTTTGATAACTTGTTCCCCATGCTCACAGTAACTTTACTTTTTACAAGTCAGTTTCACTTGATCATTCTAAAGAAAAATTCTAAATTTACTGGAAAGTAAGAGATTTACTGACATACTGTCTTTTGTTCCTGGCATTTATTTCATAACTGGTTGAAGATTCTTGACTGAAGTCCTGGCCATTCAGAAAGTACCCGATGCTTCGAAAAAGGATTTGCAACTCTTTAAGATATATAATATGATGCAAATTTTTTTTTTCAAAATCCTATACTGATCAGTCTCTAGTTATTTCACAGTTTAAATAATTCTTTTCTACAGTTGTAGTTATTATCTATCACAGACATCTGCTTAATTTATGTTTCCCTTCCCTACTGTTTCAGCAATTATTTATTCTGAATTAATTACAGAATGATGGGTATAAGAGGCCTGTTCAAGAGAATAAAAAACAATCCAGAGCATTTTCAAAGCATTTTAAAGTCAATGCAATTTTGTAGGAAACTTTCTCTAGACCACTTTCTTACATACTGCAAATGCCAACTTTGGGAGTCTCATCAGTAAAAATGGCATTTTCCTAATCTTTTAATTTTTATGCTGAATAAATTTTTATCCAAATCAAATAATTTTTCTTATAATGGGTTGGCAAGAATTCTTTTTTCTGATACCAAACGACTTTTACAGCCAATTTTGTGAAGTCACTGCCAAATTGTTAATACGCACATAAAATCCAGAACAAGTCAGATTATTATTATTAAAGGACTGATAAAATTTAATAAACTCAACATTGACTTAAACATTGCCCTTGTTTTCTTTCAACTTCTTCATCAAGATATTACCAATCCCAACTGATTATTTTATATTTATACTACAATTTCTAATTCTTTTTTTGATTAATGGTAACAGTACTGTAAAACTTAAGAATACTGTTAACAGTGCCAACATTTACTTCACATATCTTGGATATGCTTCTTTAAATTATATAACTGTGTTGATTTACACTCTTACTCTTTTTTCTTGCAGTGATTTTACGGCAAAAAATAAAACATGCTACAGTAGTAAACAATGTTTTAAATGCTTGATATAATCAAAATATGTCAATTAGAAATTCGAAAAAAGCACAAAAACAATGCATTGAACTGAAATTACAATCATGATTGTAATTTCAGAACAATTACAATCACGAAATGGTACAAACAAGCAGAAAGGTAGGAATAAAACAGAACTCATTCACCAAAAATGAAATGTTTAAAAATAATACTTTCTTTATATTAATTTACAAATTAAAACATTAAAATTTTATATGCAATGATTTACTTAATAATTTAACTTTTTATACATAAAACAAAATGAACATCTGTGCTACTGACTAATCAACACATGTAAAGGTTGTGGACCAGTTACATGTTTAACATCACACAAATTATATTTAAATAAAATGTAGCCATATATCAGAATCTTATAAGCATATGCAAAAATATTGCACATTAACTTGTTCACTGAAAATGTACTAGACCCAAAAAAACAAAAAATAGAATTTATATTGCCATTCATTTGACCCTTCTACAGCATTTTATATAATTACTTCATATACAGTTTATATACAGATATTTATATCTTATACGCACATGCAAAAATATTTCACATTAACTTGTTCACTGAAAATGTACTAGACCTTAAAAAAACAAAAAAATAGAATCCATATTGCCATTTATTTGACCCTTCTAGATCATTTTATATAATTTAATTACTTCATATACAGTTTATATACAGATATTTCATATATTTAATATGCTAATTGCATATATGTTAATGTATATGGAGCCACAAGTATTTCTTCATTATTTTAACAAATTTTGGTAAATTAAGTGTTAAGAAGTAAAATCAGATGCTCATGATTTTTTTTGGGGGGGAATCAAAATAACTTAGTCTGCAAGAGAGATTGCACTTGATTTCTTTTTCATTTTCATCAGTCTTTCATTGCAATTGACGAATGACCACAATACTGCTAACTAATTGTTAAAATGAAAAAAAAAAAAAAAAAAAAATTCCCAGTTCCCCCCCCCCACCACACACACACACGTCTTCTTCGATCAAGACCTTCAAAGCTGTTATTGTCCTCAAAATTTAGAAAATTGAAAACTGATATTAAAAGCAGTCTTGTTTGCTTATTTCAGAATTCAGCACTGCTAACTTTAATGCAGCATTTTCAAAAATAATTCATTTGAAAAGTTACTTAAGAACTCAACATGGACGAAAAGTATTTCGCCTTTAAAGTAACAATTTATTTTTCTGGCACTTCACTCTCATCAAAACTCATTCCAGTAATTTCCATTCTTAACCCTAGAAATAATTTTCTATAACTAAAACATAATTATTGTCAGCTAGATTTACCTTTTCTATTGCTGGTACTTGTTTAAAATTTGATAAAATATTACACAGTACCGTTTTCACCTTATTTCCCAATAATGAAATTAGAAGGCAAAAGCAATATTCAACACAAAAGAGTAATTTTAATTTAGATTTACTACTTGTAGTAGAGCAAATGATAAGAAGAGAAATGTGCAAAGAAATTCTATAGTGATGTTATAAAAATTTTGACTTGCTAAATATAATCCTCTACTTCTCTCAAATTGAGGTAGAAATTCATAGGTCTAATACTCCCATGTGATTTTTATTGCCATTGCTCAGAAGTAACAGATCTATGTTAAACATACTACAACACTAAAAATTTTGAAAAAGTAATAAAAGAAAAAAAATTACTAACAGAGTCACCTTGGCACCATTTTACATCAACTGACTTTTAGGAAACTTAAAACAGCCAAAAAGGTATTAAAATGGCCAAAATTTAAAAGGCAGAGTTTAGTCATTTTTCACACAATGCAAGTTGTTTATTTGCTTAATTAAGTAATATTACCTTCACACTGCTGAAAGGTAATATTACTTAATTGGTAATATTACCTTTCAACAATGCAAGTTCCTTGTATAAGTTGTTTAATCAAGAACTTATAATCACTTTCATACTATGAAAGTTGCCTATATATGTTACACACATATAGTCCAAATATATGATTCAAATATATAACAATACAAGTTATCTAAATATACAATTTATACAATTTGTCTGTATAAGTTATTATGTTAGGGGTTTTGTTAAGTCTTAATACAGTGAAAAGTCATTAATTCGGACACCCATAATCCGGAATGATCTATAATCCGGACCTAAAAGCTACAAACTTTCTGCACATGCGTTGCATGCGCGTAAGACCTTTACCGCTGCGAATTTGCATGTGCACGTGCGCAAAATAGGTTTACAAATGCGCGTTTAATGTATAACGGACGGGATAAGCTAAGCTAAAATTATCAAATTATCGATTTCAGTTAATGTTGCAGATTGCGTTGTTCCTTAATCTTTGAATTGGATCCGGATTATTATTTTTTGCAGACTGTTAGAGCAATTTATAAAAGTAAGCTTGAACTTTCGATTATGTCAAATAGAATTTCCGATATATATTTACTAATATGTAAAAGATATACAAAGCAAAAGTATCTTTCGGAGTCCATTAAACAAAAAGTGGAATTGCTGCAAAAAATGGATAAAGGCATATTCTTTGTTTATCTAAACTTTAACGTTTGTTTATCTAAACTTTGTTTATCTTTAACCCCGCAGCAACGTGCAATAAATTGGAAGTTGATCTGTCAGCACTATCCTTATCTTAAGGGCAGATGTTTTTATTTTATTTGGCTTATAATTGCTTACTCAATGTAGTATTTCATCTCGATGTACTCTGTCTTTGATATGATTTAAATCAAATGCCTCGTCATTATAATTCGCTTCCGATAGCGAAGAAAGTGACAGAGGTTATTGAAAACGAAAAAATTTCGATTGACAAATTAGTCGGTATTTTCGACACGGCAATTATAGGACTTGAACAGCGGAACTTTGTAACTGAACAAGAAATTATGTCTATTTATAGAATTAAAGAGAATGTATTATCATATAAAAAACGAAGCAACTGAAACAACTTACATTGAAAGAAATGTTTAATAAAGTAAACAAATAAATATTAAGCTCTTTTTTTTGTAAATTTTGATACCCTTTAGATCATATTTGTTCCTTTATTTCGTGAATTACGGTTTCATATTTTTAATTTTATAATTTCTGCATGCCATTTTACCAGATTTAAATTGATGATCTATAATCCGGAATCGCCAAAGTCCCGACGAGTCCGGATTAACGACTTTTGACTGTACTACACTAGCAATTTCATGTCTTGCATCTGTATTTTAGAAATGACTCCTAATTATTTCCTAAAGAGTTCCTGAATTCAGCTACTTATTCCAACAAGACTGTCCCTTTAGTAACACAATACATAACTAAATCATGACACTATTACAAATAATATGAAAAAAATCAATAAAAATCTTACTTAATTCCAGGTATTTTGATACTTTTCTTTCCCAGTAAGCCAAAGGACTACAGGAAGAATTAAAAATGGATTATTATAAAATGCAAACTAGCAATGATTATTATTTAAAAAATTGATTACCAAATTTAAAATACCATATTAAGTTGAATTTAAGCCATACTTCTTATTCAGATTTTTATAGAATATTAGGGTATAGCTTAAATTTAAGCAAAATATTTAACAATTTATTTCTGCACCTTTCAACAATTATCTATTTTAATAAATAAAAATGTTTCTTATTTTCAATATCTATAACAAAATCACTTTTAAAATCCAACTAAAGCTTAAACTTGAAATAATATGGTATATTACATATAAAACTTACTGGAGTTTCATATATACTGAGTATATCTTTACCAATTTTAGCAAAATATTTGTCATCATGGCTCCATCTAAAAGAAATTCAGAATATAATGCATTAAAAGCTTTGATTTCTTAAAGACTCTGATCATGAAAGTGCATAATTTAATAATGCAATATGCTAAATTTTTAAATTCTCTATTTTATTTCTGAAAGAAATTTATGATTTCATAATGGTATGGATCAAATTAAGAGAACTGTATGTAAAACAAAAAATACTTGAACATAGGCCATGTTGAATGCGGATGTGTGTCTGCATGGAAACTTCTTTTCTTTATTCCAGTTCTGATTTCCCAAATCATTACACAATGAGGATCTTCTCTTGATTCAGGGATGTTACTAAATGTTACTAAATACCTAAAGTACAAAAATATGATTATAAAGGAGTAATTACATTTAAAAAATTACTTTTCTGTAAATAACTGTTTTACTTTTTTTTAAGGCAATGTAGAAATTATTCTGCATATAAAAATACGTAGAACTGTAGTCTGACAATCATATAAAAGTACATCCAAAGTTGCCTATCTTAAAATGTTTGAAAAAAAAACTATGACATTTTTGGACTAAAAAAACAAGAGCTTTTAGGAAGCTTTCACATGCTGTGTAGCAGCACAATTTCAAAAGTATTCCTAAACGATTTAAATTCACTTTATAACACATAAATCAGATTATTCAACTATTTATAATATGATTCTGACAAATTATTTATATTTAGTTAGATGTGCTAAATTTACTTATTTGGCTGATTTTATTTTGTATAATTTTCACACTTTTAAACAGTAAATATCCCAAGTACAAAAGGAAATCTTCAATTTATTAAAATACTTTCAAACATAATGAAAATAAATTAAATAATTAAAGTAAATACTATCATGTGGATTATTATTATATATATATATATATTATGTAGCTAAACTTAGTTATGTATATACATTGGTGTAAAATAAAATTAAGTACTAATATTTACATTTGTTAAATCTTTACATAAAGTTCTGCAAATGTCCACAACAACTTTTTTTTTTTTAATTTTCTTTAATTTTAACAATTAGGTAAATTCAGATCAAATAAATTGTAATAGGAAAAATTAAACCCAAATATGAATTATGCTGGGTGGGAAAAGAAATTTGCACAATTTCAGTTTCACTAATTCAAAAAATTCCATTTATTGCTGAAAAAATAATTAACTTACTAAAGGATTAAAAAAAAACTTAAGATTTGGTGATCTAGTGAGAAATGAAAGGAAAATAGAGATCTCCCAGTAAAAGCAAGAGAGTTGGCAACTATGGCCATTAAATTAACTCATTTCACAGTTTCACTGCAATGTATCTGAAAACCTTATTAGTATACCTTCCTTAGACTGGCGAAAATGATGTTTTCTGCAACAGTCCATGAGCGTTAAACATAAATAGTAGCAAGATAAGTACTACAGATATTTTATTGGAAATGAGGAGCAAAATTTCATTATATCCTTTGAATGTAAACATCAGCAATGTCTTAATTTAGATACACCATACATTCCATTGTAAAACAGACAACACTGAATTTTAATGCTGCCCCCTTTCCCGAGTTTCTAACGGCCTTTTTTGCTGTGCCCCCTTTTATTGATGCCCTAAAAGCATTAGTTTGCTTATTTTGCTTAATGGGTAACCTGGCTGTGGCAAAGCAGTTTCTTTTGATGCAGTGATGAAGGGCCCTACTGCACTTAATACTGATGGAATATGAATGTAATCAGGACGTGCCATATATTTTGATGACTGAAAGTTAATTCTCAGGTACATGGACAATGCAAAGGAGATCCCTCCTTATCAGGAATTAACTCCACCTCCTTATCAGGAATATCCAAACCCAATGCACTATCTGAAATTGAACATAATACACTGTCCCATTTTGCAACTACACAAATACAATGTAACACATCATTGCCAAGTCTATAAATAAAATCTGATGATATAAGTATGCATTTTCTTCAAGCACCATCTAGAATTTTACCTATGATCACTCGAAGTTTCATAAATTTGCTTTAAGATGATATACATTATGCTCCTCACTTTACAGTACTTTAACAGTACATTCTAACAAAACTTCTTGCTGTATTGACTGCTTTCAGTTTTCCACATATGAAACTTGCTCTATTTAACATTGTCCGTTAACTACTAGCCCAGGGGTTTTCGAGAAAGGGGAAATTCTCCTTTGTGGGGATTTCACAGATTCAGAAGGAATATGATCACCTTTATATACAGCAGGTAAGTATTTATTAGCATTTTCTATACTTTTCGTTGTTTAATTTAAAAAATGTTAAAAATTAGTCTAAATAAATGTAAATGCATTAAGTTTTAGAAAGGAAGATGGGAGGGATGATCTTCTAGCAATGGTGAAAGGTGTGCATAAGAGCAAGTTGAGAACAACTGTGCTACCACAATTGTAAGTTCACTGCCTAATAGTGTTATCACAACTTTGGTTATGTTAATTAGTGAAACTGAGTTTCCTGCATTGATGCATTTTACTATTCTGACTTATGTAAAATGCATTTAAAATTTAAAAAATTAAAAAGAAAGAAAAATTTATGCCTAAAAAATGAAATACTGTTTCACAACTAAACTTTTAATGCAGAATGCATAGTCACACAATAAATATAGTACTCATTCATTGCTTATTTGATGTTACATTAAAAGGATGTGATTTTAAAACTATAAAACAGTGATTAATCTGCAAACTAATCAGTAAAAACTGATTTTAATATTTCAATTAAAACTAATGCACTTCACTCTTTGGGATAAAGTCTCCAATGATCTACAACCATAAACATTAACTAATGTTGACATTAACTACACTTTCGGTTTGAAAGCTTGCTTTCTCTTTATACTTCCCAGATCAAATCCAAACAACAATAGATTCAGCAGCTGAAGTAGCTAATTACAGCATGCATAACAGATGACATCGTGGTCATTGTACTTATATATTGCGATAGCCACAGATCTTACAGTGCATAGACTGACATCCTATTTCGACAGACTACTATTTTCTTTATTTAGTGAAAATAATAATACTTGCTTTGAGGTGTTAATAAACAGTTTACTCAATTTAATCTTAAAATACTTACAAATATAAAATACTTACAAATAAAATATATCCTTATATAAAGGAAATACTTACAAATAAACAAAGTAACAAATTAACAAATAAAATAACAAAATTAATTTTAATGATAGAAAATTTTCTAATTAGCAGAAAATAGCTTTTAAATTTACAGTGAAATGAAAAAAGCTCAAGATAGGTAATGGACATTAAAGTAACCTTAGTTTTACATATATACATAATAAAGTATATGTGCTTTCTGATTATACATATCCCCGTGAAAAGTCCCTATCTCATTCATGACTTTTTCTCATAAAATTCATTTTATTGCTTACATTTTTATAGCCGATGGCTACAGTTTAAGGAAATAATCACTAAATATGAGGCATTTAAATCCACATGTACTCAAATACACATGTAGTACACATATACATGGGTTATTTACCATCACATGCATACTCGAAACATCCCAAAAACTGTCACTTATGTCAAAAGTTGCAACGGGGGTTGCAGATAAGCAGAAAGTAACATGCATATAACTAATAATATTTCTAAAACTCACTTTTCACAAGGAGAAAAGCTAATACATTGGACGTTGTTATGGCTGAATTTCATAAACTGAGTAAATTTTTCTCCTACCCACAAGGCTACTCCCCGAGGATGGAAAGTTGCTAAGTATGTGCCAAGAGGCGACCATTGTACATATGTTTCAGTCCACGACTACAGATAAGATAAATTATGCATAAAAATAATGACCTGATACAAATTTTAAGTCTAAAACTGAAATATATATAAACTTTATGCATACCTCTCTTTCTTGTAGAAGAGTAGGCTCTGGGTTAGTATTTAAGTAAATAGCAGTCTTTGCTCCACCATCATACATAACACTGTATTGATCACAAGCATCTGGCTCTTGTAACCAATACCTGAGATTTCCCTGCAAATAAAAAGCAGTTTGATTAGAAAAATCAGTCTTAAAAAAAAAAAAAAAAACTTTCTTTCAATATTTTTAACTCGGTAATGTAGCTAAATCTTATAATTATGATCAGCAATATTTATTTATGCAATTAACTTTAAGTATACAAATACATATCTTGAAATGTATTCAAACCCTAAGGTATTATACTGAAAATGGTATAGGTTGAAATTGGTAGAACCGTTTTCAAGTTATAATTTAAAAAATGCATATATCATTTGGCTTTTCCTAGAAACTCAGAATTTGGGAAGCAAAACCCTCATTTATTTTAGTTAACTAAATGCTAATTATACCAAATATTTCAAAATTTACTAATATTAAATTTTATTATACTGCTTTAATTTTATGATAGCCATGATGAATTTTGTGGACTTGTTCTGATGTTATTGTCAGACAAGTGAGATAAGTCACAACACTAAATAAATTACATCTTGCATTTTAAATTATTACCACATACATCTTATAAAAAATACAAATAATTTTTAATGACTGATCTAAATTAGACCTACACTGTAGAAAAAGAAATAATTCAGAAATTTTTCGATAAAAAAATATGTAATCCAAATTTAATTCATCAGTAGTTTATGAAAATCATACAAAATTATACTGCACATAAGATAAAAAGGTTTTACTAATTGATCCGAACATGTAAATGGTCAAAAATGGTAAGAAGAAGATAAAATTTAAGCTCAAAGAAATAAATAATTACTCAAGCATATCAGGATTTCAATCCAAAATGCATTCTATATTGTAAATTTAACTTTAAAAATTATAACTGTTATATGGTTTGAAGCACTTATTTATCCCTTCTGCATACTTCAAGAATTACGAACTATATTGTAATGCATTCATATATTTTTAAGTAGACTTTTTTTAATAATTGTAATTTTAATAATGCTACATGAAAATGAATGTCATAGCATACCTTATTAACAAATATTGTTCAAATTAACTACAGATTCATATCCAAATTACTTCAGCTCCAGTAAGGGAATTGATCTAATTATAATATGAATTTTATAATATAAATAAAGGAAATATTTTTATAAAATTTTAATTAGCGATAATTATAATTTAATTTAAATAAAGGAAAACTAAAAGAAAATAATTTTAGTCAAGTTTCGAGCACTTGGAAGCAGCATCAATGTTTACATAAACAGTTCAAATTTTAGTTTATAAAATATGAATTTTAGTTTTATTATACTCATTTACAGAATTAGTATAGAAATTTTTACTGTACTTGCATATCATCTCATAAACTATGAATTTATGAAAGCTGGCTACCTCCAAATGATGAAAGCTGGCGAAATCCTACCAAAGCCGCATTAATCATTCCTGTGGAATTCTGAAGGTACTCATGCCTCTTTTACTTCATAAACAATCATTACTACACCTGTTCTGTTTTTCAGGGTTCGTACACATTTCTGCACATGGAAATTAAGTACTTTTAAGGACTTTTAAGGATCATTAATGAAAAAAATTAAGGACCTATCAGACAATAGTAGCTAAAAAATTCAATTCAATCAGCTTATATCTGAATTTCACTTTTGTAATAACATTCTAAGAATAAAATAGATCCGTAAGTAGGATGCATTCTTATTAAACATAACTTTAAAACAAATTTGAGAATGAAATCCATATTATAAAATTTATCAAACAGCATTAAAATATTTTACGCATATAATAGTTGGACATATTTGAAAGAAGTTTGGGGACATTTCATTTACATTTTATTAGCAGCTTTATGCTGATTTTTCTTTTATGTCTCATTTTGCCATGTACTTACTCAGTCTAGAAGTTTAGTAAATAGCAGGTAAATTTTATGTCAAATGGTACAGGTTAAAATGAGAAATAAAATCATAATCAGCATGATTTGTAACAGAAGATTAGCTGTTCCTAATGCTGCTGCTTGCCAAGAGAGAGACCTGTTGATCAGAAAAAAAACTGAAAGCCTGTTGTAGGTAAGGTATTTCTCCCGCATTTCTTGGCATGTCTTCGTGGTGTGGTAATCTGCACACTCGGCTCATATTTGAGAGGTGTATTTTTCACAGTTTAAAATACATGTAATTTTACTGACACTGATTCTTAAATAGTATTCGGATAATTACACATTAAAAGTTACAAAACAAAATATTTATGCGTCTTTTTAATTTGAAGTGTTCCTAGACATTTTGGCTAATTTATATCAATTTCTTCTCTTTAAACATCTTTTCTAACAATTAGAAATCTAGTTTCCGTGTGCTTTAACTAGTAACTTGTATTCTCTCAACAGTACCTAACGAGGTATTACGTGATCTGGTAAAAGTTAAATAATCCAAAACCTCTGATAGACATTAGCAAATTACCTTTATGTCTGAAGGTAACTACAGCGTCACATAAAGATTTAAATATACCTCTTATTTGACTTTGGAACATACAGGCACATTCTTATGTTATGTTGACAAAATAAACTAAGTTCTTATGTTATTATGAATAAACTAACAGCTTTTGGTGACGCAAGTAAACAGGAACAGCCAAATTCAAACTATAAATGTGGACTAGTATTCAAAGACTACGCAATTTAAATTTAATCTAAGGTGGCTCAGAAACTTTATTGTAGTAACAAATTCAAATATTAGCAATGATAATGCAAAGATGAATAATTACAAATTATCAGATGTAGCAGGAACTAAGGCAACATCCAAGTGGAGGGCAAAAACTTTCTGTCTTATAATCCAAAAGTCTCAGTTTACAAACTATCTGATTTGCATTATGGTGAGGAAGCGAAAAGGGAAAAAGGGAAAGCTATAGTAAACGCTAAAATACTAAACAACTGATTAATTTGCATATGTATTCAGTTTCTTTCAATATGTTTCCTCTTCACTTCAGAATTTTTGCAATTAAAAGATTTCTGTTATTATAAAAAAACAAATGCATTTAGAATATAGAGGAAAAGCTGCTAATTTTATTTCTTTAGTAATATGAACATTCAGAATAAATATGAAATGATATGTGGTAAGGGCTGGTTTGAGCCAATGAGGCAGAATTTTTAGATTTTAGTGGCACATCAAGCAACAAAATCTAGAAATGGCAAAACTTTAAGAATTTAGGACAGTGACTGGGAGCAGAATTTAGGAGAGCATTAAGCAGCACAATTTAGGAAGGCACTAGGTGGCAAAATTTAGAAACAACAGAGATTTTATCAGGTAGGAAAAAGCCCAGCGCCAGCCTTGTGTATGATCCATTGAGACGTATAAGGTGAATCTTTTAAATTGTCAGTTTTCAATTTCTTTATTAATAAAAAAATTCTCTTTTTATAAATGACTGTCCAGGTGAAAAGATTAAAAACATTTTTGGTATTCTTGATGCTTGTGTCTAGTGAAAAGTTGAGAAAATAAAGAGAAGATAAACAGGTTAAGAAAAAGACTTCTAGCATCAGAAGTAAACATTCAAACATTATATATTCAGTGTCCTTCCAAAAATTCTTCACAATGTATGAAATTCATCATAAAATTTCTGTAAAATGCATCCATTATGTGTCAATACAATGAAGATATTTTTTTATTTTGTCACATTTTAATGGAGCCTTCTAGAATTGTGGGTCTGTAAATCTTGCCTTCAAATCCTTCTAAACTTTCCAAGTTGCAATGTCTAAAATCCTGAAGAAAAATTAGCCCTACCAATTCTGTAATAGAAAAAAGGCCAGAAATAGTTTGAAAAAAAAAAAAATCAGTGGAAAAAAAATGTGAAATTAATTTTATAGAGAAAACTGATGCATATTCTAATAATTCTGAATATTCTGAAATAATTACAGGGGAAACCTTTTTACCATGAAAAAATTGAAAGAAAGAAATTTTTAATTAATTACATAGCTATTTTTCTTTTGCTATGAATTATTTTGTAAACCGTGCTTTATAACATTTATTATCTTGTTTATTTTTTATATTCAAAACATTGTATAATAAAGTCACCAAAACGGAAAGTAATGTTTCTTCATAATATGACAGCAAAAAATATAAATGTTTGATTTTAATGTTATTTCCTAAATATAATTTCAATATATTACCATTAATTTAGTTAAATTTATCAATGTTATAATGTTTTAAAAAAATCGATGAAAAATTCCAAGATCTTCGAATTAAAAGTTTTCTATAGAAAGTGATATTAAAATCGCCGAAATGCTGATAAGTCACAAAATTTCGAGCTGTTTTATAAAAGAATTCACATCCACAAAAGCAGAAAGAAGTTTAAGAACTCTTCATTAGAAAAAAATTGAAATAATTTTGAAATGCTTATGTTTCATTTCTTGCTCAGAAACTCCAAGTACCCCACCCTTTATATTAGAAATTATAACCCATGAACTAATTCAAAAGATAATCAAATCATATTTGTCAGTGAATCGCCAAAAATATTCCTCCAAAATGATAAGTCACACTCAAAATAGCAGTTGTAAAAACAAGACCGAAATTTCAGATGATTAAAATTAAGGACCTTCTGACGATTTTGGCCGAAATTAAGGACTTTTAAGGACCAAAAATCGATTCAAAAAAATGTAAGGACTTTTAAGGACTCTTAAGGACCGTATGAACCCTGGTTTTTGCACTTAATAAAAAGGCTTTCAATGACAAACTATTTTGTTGGGCCCTTCAATTTTACCAAAGCTCTGTTTAGAACACTATAGGCCCTTTCACAAAAACAGATTCAATTGATAACGAAAACTAGTTTTTCCAACGGTGTCCCATTCACACGGCAAACAAGAATTAATTGTTTCTCCGAATTGGAGGTAGAATTTGGAAGAATGTTCTTACCTCTCCAGAGCAGGGCAAATGGGGAGATTTCCCATGCTGCGCTGAGCTATTGCACGATTCACTTAATTTTTAAAAAACAACATGGCTAACATGCAATTGACTGCTTCCTGGACTTTCAGAGAAACAATCGCGTTGGTAGATATTTGGGGATGCAATATCATCCCAAAAAATTAC